CGAGATTATGATACCGTATTACCATCTTTTGAATATTTACACATTGGGATCTATGACTATTATGATTCAGGGCAGGTATGATTATGATTATGATGATGATGATGATGATCATTGGGATTTATCTTCTATCTGTTACTCAATGGGATTTACGATCTATGAGTCTATGATGATTGGTATCTTTACTCTTTGGGATTTATGATTACCACTACCCTCTGGTAATTTAACAAAGCTAAGTGGTGATGTTCAATAGTCGATAGCATCTGGGTAAATTACTACATTTCACAAACCTGAATTAAGGCCATTTTGGCATAATTCCATATAATTCCCCTTACTAACCATCATCTATGGCAATCTATGGTGACGTCGTAGTGAGGTCGTTATTAACCTTGCGGCCTTGCTGACATCCCTCGCCTTGCCTGTGCACAGCTCTCCTCCAGGCAGGAGAAAAGACCTCCGGACGATGGGATCGGAGCGGAAGAATCACCGCCGCCATAAAAACATAGGAACAAGAGCGGAACATACCCTCTGGTAAACTGTTACATAACTGTGGAAAGATCCACCCATTTTTAATGGGAAAAATCCACTATTTCTATGGTCATTTTTGAATAGCTATGTTAAATTACCAGAGGGTAGGGAACACATATGAAAAAAATGGATGCGGTTGCCATTTTTAGATGGGAAAATTGGAAGCCACAAGACGAGGGAATGAATGATTGAAATTGAAGTATTGAATGGAAATTGCTGTTGCACATGAGAAATTTTATGAATCTGATACAGTATCGGTTTTAACCACCCACACATCAATGTTTGACAGTTTTATCAAACATGATGGGATTGACTGATTGAAGCCACCAAGACTATCCGAAGCTGAGTTTTGGCCGACAAATATGCGGGTTCCGTACCACTTAAATTGGCATGTTCAACAAAAGCATACATGGAGTATCATGGAGTAAGAGGTGATGTAAGCGCCTGCTCCTGTCACTACTAGTGGGACCATTGCCTCATAATTGCCAGTTAAACATCCATTATGCTAGGTTCTATCAATATAGGCTAGGTTTTCACCATGAAATGCTGGCTACACTCCAAATCATGCCACTTCTCATCATAATATTTTTTTTCCAGCGAAATGATCATCAAATACCGTCCCATTGTTTCATTGTATCACCTAATGTTTTCATATCATATCATATCATATCATATCATCATAACATGAATCATTTTCATATAGGCAAACATAATATATATATACACATATAGATATAGAAACGTGATTGACATTCTGGCATCTATTCAGGCCATTCTGGCACCCAGAGACTATACTGGAACTCTACGTGTTTTGATCATTTTTTGGGGACAATCCATCATATGTCTACAATCCATCATTCTACTGTTCTATAGATTTACCATGGATTCAAATAACCATCTTAGATCATCTTAGTATCCTATGAGATATTCTATAGAATGGTTTCTACTAAGATATACTAACATAGATACTAAGATATAGATTTACCATATGTTCACATTCTATAGATTTACCATATTTACTCTTCAAACAAACTATATATATTAATCATTAATACCATTAATATACCAGTATGATATTAAACATCATATTCTATAGATTTACCATATTACTGTTCTATAACTATATATCATTATTGTATATCATTAATATCTAGGATATTTTCTAACAGATTCACCATGGATCAGACCAACCCAGCTCCGCCTGCATGGCCATCCAGCTCCACCAGCTCTGCCACCTGCGGCTCCATGGCCTTGGGCGCAGATTGGAAAACAGGGCTTGAAAAACAACGGGATTTCAATCAAAGATGTTGAAACCAATTAGTGAAAATTTGGGATTTCAATCAGCGATTTTTGAAAGCGATTTTAGTGAACATTTTCAATCAAAGATCTTGTGTAAACCGATATTTTTGAGTGAACATTTGGGATTACAACTGTCAAAATGGATCGAAAATATGAAGATTTAAGCTTAAAACATTCTAAATGATTTGAATCATGCCTGCAATTATTCTTCCAAAGCACTTTTAGCAACTCACCAAACTGAACATGTGGGATTTCAACGCCACAATTCTGGCATGTCGAAAAATTCATCACGGCGATTCAACCAAGAAAATCCTGGGAATACGATGGGATCCAAGGAGGTTTGCCATGTTTCTCCAATTTTATGAACGGCAAACGGGCAAATCAAAGGATCGATTTTTCAACAGCAAAGATGTAGAAAGTATAAGCACGGAAAAATTAAGAGTGAACAGCATTATTTTTGTACACCGCGGAAATGTACCAACAAACATTGGGATTTCCACAACCGCTCAGAGGCCGCAAAACTGTCAAGAGATTAAGACTACACTTATCCCATCTCATGAAATACTATTTCGTTGAAAGCGGTTCCTCTACTATGGCTTATCGTAATCCAATAAATAATAAATATATAAATTTAGTAGTATAAGTTATTCCCGGAGGTAGCGCCCCTCTTTAATCTGCGTTTCAATGTGTTCCGCTGCATCCCCATACTTGCATTACATGGAAGATACCCTCTGGTAATTTAACATAGCTATTGAAAAATGACCATTTTTAGTGAGTTTTCCCATTAAAAAGGGTGATTTTCCATAGTTTTTTTGTATGTTTACCAGAGGGTAATAGTACAAGTCCCAACAAATTCAGTATTTGTTCATGGCTCAATTCTACCTGCAAACAGCCCGGGATGTCACCAGCATGGCTGGGAATCCAGTTGTGTCCCGTGTCCCCGTTTGGTTTTGTTTGCGACACATCGTATCACTAATATATCACAATCTATTTCTGTACAAGTTTTTTTGTTTTTTACATTGTGATACATCCATACACCGTCATAAATCCATACATCTAGAATTATTGTACATAAATATATATATATATCTTAACATTACATAGCCGTCTTTGCTGAAAACACCATTGTCATCTTTTCGCCCAGCTGCTCGATCGAAGTACACTCGCAGCTCCACATGACGACCTGGCGCTACTTGCGAGCTCGCTGTGAGCGCCGCGGCCAGCGCGGACGTCAATATCTTTTGAGATATAGTGGCGATATCAAACATGGAGATACACTTAAATATTATATATAGATACTGTATATATATATGTATTATATATATAAATGGATGTATAATTATGTAGTATAGTGATCAACCAACTGGTTGAAACGGCCTTGGGTATGGCTTGAAGTTGGGATACAGTCTGACAGACCATCCTTGACCTTAGAAACTGACATAACTGCAATCAGTTTTGTTCACAAACGCTAGCTGGTTGGTGGTTTCAACCCCTCTGAAAATATGAAAGTCACTTAGGAATATTATTCCCAATATACTGAAAATAAAAATGCTCCAAGCCACCAACCAGCTAGTAGTTGTGTAATCCAAAAGCATGTACAAGCTACTAAGCAAAAAATGAGGCAAGTATCAGCTACTGGCGCGAATTTTCATGTATGCCCATCCTAGAAGCGACCTGAGGTGATATCATGATCGCCACATCTATCGCCCCATCTACCGCCCCAAGGGCATCTCCGTGAGCATCCGAAGATGATGCAACTCATGGTGTTAATTCCCAGAAAAAAAAACATCAGGTCACTGCAACATAAGATTATTGATATTGCAACATAAGAAAACATGGGGGGCACTAACAAATCAGGCTAAATAGTCAATAATCAGGTTTCCAAGAAGCATATATTGATATTTGTCAATGCAACATGTGAATACATGCCTAACAAATCCTAACAACATATTTTTTGACAAGCAACACAACATGAGAATACATTCCCAACAAACATGGCAAATCAAGCAACTGAAGGATGGTGTGCGGCAAACGAGAAAGAACACCATGTAAACAATACAACATGGACATGCAAAATCTTCTCATGGGTGTCAACTGGGGGTTTTCATAAATGATATAAATGGAGGTATCCCCAAATGGATGGTTGATTTCCTGGAAAATCCATCTATAAATGGATGATTTCGTGGTACCCCCATTTATGGAAACCCTCAACTGTCAATAGAGCGATTCCCAAAGACATCCATGTTGAATAGTGACAACCCAGGAGGGTGACCGGCTCGCAGTTTTTGGCCTTGTGTGTTTCCCTGGTATAAAGGGGATTGTCAATAAAAGTCATTGTTTGGATCTAGGGAACATGATGGAAATTGGTGGTATATTATATTGGCTATTGAATCTGATAGAGAATATGTTCTTCTCTTGGCTACGAATCGAATGCCCCGATCATATTAGAGACACCTAATGGCGCCCAAAATGAATAAGTTCAATAGATGCAATAGATACCGAAGCAGTCCCCCGTAGGTGTCAGTACGTTGCACAAGGACCAGCTGCACAGGCCGAAGTAATCGAAATATGTTGGCTCCATCCGAGGTGCGCATGTTGAAAACGCCCTTGCTTGTCCTTGCGTTAGGATTTGCGCCTCCGATGATACTGTCATCATCTGTCATCGCCTGGTTCTCCTGCTTGAGAACTTGTTTTTTTTCTTGTTTCTCTTGTACATTACATCTGAACTCCGTTGCGATGTGGAAGCGGTGGCTCGCAAGCCATAAGATCCGAGGTGTTCTGAACAGGGAATGGCCATTTTGGATATTATCTATCCCGATTTCAGACACACCTTCAATCATGTGTTGGCCATATAGCCCATGAAATGTCCCATTAAGTCCGCTATATCCCACATGTTCTTGGTTATATCCCATTGTAAACCTCATGGTATCCACATATGTGTTGTGAAGTCATCCATGATATATCAATATACCCTCTGGTAGACGTTTACATAGCGAACTGGAAAATCACTATTTTTAATAGGGAAATCAACTATAAATAGCCATTTTCAAGAGCTATGGAAAATCACAATTTTTAATGGGTGGGTAAATCAACGAAGTCAATGGCCATGTTCAAGAGCTATGTGAGTTTAACCAGAGGGTCTGATGGCAATTTGACCCCATGAGTTGCCCGGCGCGCCTTTCTGCTGCAAGAGTGAGCCATGCGATGGAATCACCTGGTTTGAAAAATCCGCGCGAACGAATGCTGAATTATGGTTGTTTAATGGGGTTTCATGGTGTTTAATGTTGCTTAATCTTAAGCAACATCAGCTCACATTCGAACAGGGGTTTCAAAATCTGGGATAGCCCAAAGTCCCAAAGTGGCCATCAACAATGGCGGGATATATGACATGTTTCATCAGTTTAACCTTCGGATTCTTGTGGAATTCCTACAGCCAAAGCCACGCAACTATGAGTGTAGTTGGATGTTCATCCCTCCAGAAGGTGGTACCAAGTTGGTTTAGTTCACTCATCTTTCACTAGGCTTCATGGTAACTTTAAACATATGTTCATATTAACTTTATAGTGATGTGTTGATTTATTTCTTTCACTACATTTGATACCCATTTCACTAGGGTTTCGCTAGGTGCTTGATAACTTTAACTATAGTTGATGTTGTGTTTTTTGTCGCCAAGATTTCACTGGGAGGCACCACCGACTGTATCCACCGATGGTCCCAATGACCCCCGATGGCAAGCCCATGTTTTCGGTTGTCAAAGGTGAAATCCGAGAAAATTACGCACCCAGGGACCCATGTCCGCAACGTTTCAACATATCTTGGTTTTATCCCAACAGCTAAAATGCCTATTTGGGATTAACATGTATAAACATGCTATATATTAGTTTAACCATGTTTAACCTAGATAAAGTTGAACATAGCTTTTGATGGTAAAATCCCCATCCATCCGGACTTCAGCCTTCTTGATCATCGGCGGTAGAGGCCTCTTGAGACGCACTGGAAAAGCACCATTTCAAATGACATTTCATCATGATAAATCCTGAGAATATGTCAATCATTAATATAATTATATATGTGTATATATAGTTACTAATACATATTTATAATCTGTATGTATGTATAAATATAACATGTACATTATATGATTTATATAAATATACATATAATATGCAGATATTATATGTATATATTGGATGAATAAAGATGAATCGCAGATTCCAATTTATGGGAGCGTCTATAAAATCTCGAGACAATGATGGGAAATTCCCATATTCATCATACACAACCGTATTAAAAAAATATGGAGGTGGATGTGAATGACAGATTTCATATTGTATAATTTGTACACGGAAATATCCGAAGGTGACTGTGGCCAAACGTTGTGTGTACATAAGATTGGGCATTTGCACCATTGTGAGGATATCATGGGGATACAACACAACCAACTATATTGGAATATCAACGGGATGAATAGATTAATAACACCAACAAATTGGTTTATAACACACAATAACGGGGACGTATAAGGGATACAGTATATAATATATAATATATAGTATAACTATTTCAGCAGCAACATGATCTTTGGATGCGTCTGAAAATATCGGTCTGCCCCCCAATTGCAATGCTCATCGGGCAAATGATGATCTGGGATCTTGGGGTTTACACCCCACTCCCTATTTCTGGGAACAAAAGGATGCAGAAGACACAGTCATTGAGAATTTCACTAGCATATGTGATCAAAGATGGGTTCAGTTGAACAACCCACCTAAGACGAACATCAAACAAAGTCTATAGAAAGTCACCAGTGAATCTTGATTGATTGCAAAATAGATCACCTAAAGTCCCAATGGCCCACTTCACTCTGGCCACAGCAAAAAAATCGCCCACTCTGGCCCTCCAACATTCGACGTCGTTCCGCCTGGGATTTGGGGCAAAGACATAGGCACTCATGGCTGGAACGATGACTGCCACATGCCCATCCACCTGAGATCCGTTCTGGCGGGAGAATTGGCACTGCTATGCCAAGTGTGGCAAGTGGTGGGTGTGGAATGTGAAACCATAATGTGAGACCATAAAATGAAACCATAACCATGTTGTTTATTCGTGGTTGTAAATGAATATCCAAACATCTGGCACAAGAGGAGAGAATGCTGAATGAGCAGCCCAAACAATATGTCAAACAATTCCAGCAAAGAGATATTTTCCAGTTATGATGTGTGGTATCCTCCTCAACAATGTATATATATATAATTATACATACATATATAATTATATATAATTATACATACATATATAATTATATAATTATATATATATATTACATATATAATTATATATATATATACTTACCATAGATGTGGAAAACCCATGGTTTCTCTGGGAAAATGATCTACGTTCATGCTGGCTAAACTCCACATCTTTTACAGTTCACAGAGGCTACCCCCGGCTTAGCGTCCCTGGCGTCCCACTGGTCATCCCCTTTTGCCAAGGAACACCCACAGTGACATTCCAAGGATCCACCTGCTCTACGGTGTCCTGTGCAAAAACCAGAAGAAATGGGGGAGATACCCACGGAAAAAAAAACATCCGGTGCTAAATGGGAAAAGAATGGGATGGGGGCTTGAAATGACATATTTGACTAACATTAACTTGATATCCATCAAAGCAATTCAAACACGGCCGTCCCTGAAATTGGTGTAGGGACTGCGTATACGGCTCCCCAGGGCAGGGTCAAATCTTGGTACTCCGTAGGTACTCCGGTGCCAGTGCCCTCTCTGAACTTCTCCTGGAGCAGGACCCCTTGGGTCCAATGGCTCTGGAGTTCAGCCCTTCTGGCTTCCTTCGCCTCAGTTGTGGTCATGTCTTTAGGATTTTTGGGGATTAACGTTATGACTTAATTTTGCTTGGATACCGTACTATATTTTATATGGTTTCTTCTTTTTGAGTAGCCTTCCAAACGAGAGCAGTCTGTTTCGTTCCATTTAAGACCGTATTGCTTGTCAAAAGCACATCTACATCTATGCCATTAATCAGCGGGAAATGTCCAAATTTGATACAGCAATTCAGGTCACTGAACAAACAAATACTAATAAGGGGTGTTGAGGCAACAAACAAAAGAATCAATTCAACGGATAGCAAGTTTTACTGGGGTGCTAGGTGATGTCCATGAATCACAATGTTGAAGTGCTGGTGAACCAGTTCGTGGTTAACCCGGGCAATATCCTCAGTGTCTATCCATTCCAGAAAGGGTCCCTGTAATTCCGAAACATACCAAACCAGCAAATCAAGTGGTTGAACATTCAAGAACATAATACATGTATCATGTAAATACATAGAATATACAATTATGTACATACGACGTAGCACCATTGTACACACAATACTCTTTGAACATACTATAGCCTTAATATACACAGGCATTCTTAGTTGTACTTGATACACATTGATTCGACTTCTCATTTACAGAGTACTAGCATCAAAACTATTTCAGCGGCGATTCTTATTAATCCATAATATTAATCTACTGTTGATTCCAATCCAGTCCGCCATTCCCCAGGTTACAATCTACTCATAGCACCTACCTTAGCTCCCTCCCAACCACCGGACAGGCCCCAGTTGCATTGAAGTTGGCCACCACCAAGACTTTTCTGTCCTGCCACTTTGACCAAAAAGGTCGTAGCTTCCAAAATTCATGGCCAATCTTAGATACTCCGCACAAAGAACATATCATGTGTTTATTTTGTAGTTGTATATATTACCCTCTGGTTATTTAACATAGCCATGGAAAATCACAATTTTTAATAGGTAAACCCAGGTAAACCATCTATAAATGGGCCATTTTCCATGGCTATGTTAAATAACCAGAGGGTATATCACTGTATATCATTCTATTTGTTGCCACAGATCATCAAGGAAATCCAGTGAAATCTCTCAAGGTTGACCCAGAGCCTCGCGGTTTTTTAACTGGGACTGAGTGCCCAATTCGAAATGGCAGCTTTGATTATAGGAATACCCTCTGGTAATTTGTTACATAGCTATTGAAAATGCCCATTTATAGTTAATTTACCCATTAAAAAATGGTGATGTTCCATAGTTATGTTAGTTTACCAGAGGGTACCCTCAGGTAATCAGACATGGCTACACGCGGCTAGCTGGAACATCCATCAGTTATTCGCATGACTTTCCCACTAAAACCTCCATTTATATGGGATTCCCCATTGCCACGTTTGACTACCGGAGGGTATCTCCGGTTCTTGTTGGATAACCAAGTTATCAATATATATATATATATATGGTCCTTAGCTGAATAAAAATCTTCATATTTCTATTTCCCATCCCGATCTATGGCGCTTAACATATCCCCATTGTACACATCATTTAGGGGACAAACCCAAAAAAACCTTCGTCATGGACCGAATCCCAAGCGTTTATGATTTAACATCCCCTTTATTGGTATTCTCACCTGTTACAGACTTCCATGTTTCTGAGCAAATGATCTAATTCCCAAATCAGAAAGCGATTTTTGGAATTTTGAGGATGATTCCCCTACTCATCATATCCCTTTACTCTCCATGTTTGGTAAACCCCATGTTGTCCCAGATGTTTTTTTCCGCGTCGCAACCCAGTCCTTCTGACAGCCGCGAATGAAGGCCACGACATCCAGCAAATGCGATGCAGTTCTCAGCTGGTCGCACCTTTGGGCATCTGTGGATGGTTGCGAAATCCTGCACCAGGCAGGGTAACTATGGAAAATGCCTATTAAAAAAACACTGTAAATAGTGCATCTGCGAACTGGTGGAGGATTTCGCAACTATCCACAGTAGATCAAGCAACAAAAATCTCAACCAATCATCGCGAATTGCCCATGAAATCTGCCATGAAAATTGGGGGTCGCAAGTCGCCAATCCCTTGAGTCCAGCTGTCTGCTGATGCTGTCTGTTGATCCCATCAAGAAAGACCCTCCTAGGTTCATTGTCTAATCCCCGTTTTCTGCTTAAATCAACAAATCCATTAATTAATTAATTTATCATATATGTTGTTACATGCTCTAATATCTCGATTTTTCTGTCTGGTTCCAGAAAAAAAAACAGTTGTCTCCGTTGTTTTTTCTGCCAAGCTACTCTTCTTCGCCAAAGTCACCAAAGTAGGCCTTGCGCAAAGCATTCAGTCGGGCAATGAACCTCGGCACCGGCACGGAACGGCACCGGCACCGCGGCACGGAACGGCACCGGTCATTTTGGATTCACCATGGCCACGCGTTGATCAAAACGATCAAATGGCGAATGGTCCAATATCTATCAGATCTATCAGATCTATATCTTGATTTAGACTAAGGGAACATAAAACATCAACAGACTTTACGGATGTTTCCAAGATTTTCCTCGGATCAATCCACCAGAAACGTGTGAATGTCACACACTTGCCATGTAGAATCAATTATAACCCATAGGATCCATGGTGCTGGTATATATGCTAACATTGGGGGTATGTTGATGGTAAATGTTACCATATAGATAGCATACATGGATCCTATGGGTAACTGGGTGAATGTTAGTGACCTAATCGTCCAGACCGTGTCTCACGTACGCGATTTTTGGGTTCTAAGTTCTGCAGATCCAAGGTCTCTTGAGACCGAGGAGCAAATAGTTCCTGGAGGTCATATCGAAGTTGTCACGTTCCAGCACATTGTCTGCAGCCAAACCACAAGCGTTTCATGCGCCAAGGAATCCCGTCAACAATTCAGGGTTGGGAGTATCAGGTGGTACTTGAACAGGTTTGTACCAAATCATGGGAATTAATTAATTTGCTAATTGAGTACCAACAAATGTGCAGCTTTACTTGCAACAGTGCACAATGTCCTTGGTATACATCTGGAATCATGTGGATAGGTATATATATATACACATATATATATATATATCTATATATATATACATCTATATATATATATACATCTATATATATATACATCTATATATATATATAGGTAATATTTGGATAAAGTATAACACATAGCCTGAAAAGTTGGGGATGATTCTCCAGGCCCTAACCACTATGAGTTTCTTCAAATGGGGCTGATGTATATAATGCTCCATCTGTCACATCATCTGGATCCTGGCTGGAAAACTGGGTGCTGGTTGAGCCACAGGAACAAAAATGCGAAAGTAATTGGGGATCATCACACATATGATTGAAACATGTTGAATGCAAACATATTTGTTTGTTTGCACCAAGCAGTTTCCTTGCTCCAAGCAGTTTCCTTGCTTTGGATCTTTCTGAGAATTGAAATCAGTTTGAAGAATGCTGGTTACTGCCCCGTACTCCCACCATACCATACCATACCCATACCCAGTTACCCGACCACCAGAAAGATGTTTGTTGCTTTATAACCCCCATACAGAATGACCCGTGAAATACATTCGTGAACAAGACCAAACTTGGCGTTTGTACGCCACCTTGTACCACACCACCATTCCATGAATGATGATTCTCCCATATGATCTCTCCATGTGTGTTGCTCAAATCTCCATTATCAATATTGAATTCCCTATGATGCTTCAATCACCATTCTTTTACTCAATTACACGCCGGAGTATATTAAATCCTTAAATCCCCATGAACAAAAATCACTGAAATCATGCGAAATCTCCATTCTCAGTGGCTAAATCCATCTAAATCATCAAAAACTCCGTGAAATCTGAACCTGAACGTCTCGTCCTCCCATCCCCAGGCACCGGCCCCACCTTGATGTCTCACCGCTTGCCAGGCCAATGAGGCCCCAAGCTCTTCCCGGGCCCAGCCGTCCAAAGCGCTGCCGGGGGTGCGGAAGTTCCTGAGATGGTCGAACAGTCGAACATCTGTGCTGACTGTGCTGACCCCTTGTTGCTTTATAAACATTAAACACTACATGTATCTACATGTTTATAAACCAACAACCATAGTAACTAGATTATATTCAAACATGGTTTAATCAACATGTTTCCTGTTTCCTGGATGTCTCGCCAAGTCAGCAGTTGCGGAAATGGCCAGAGATCCAATGTATTATCGAATCTCGAGGTGGGTCATTGCCACCGTTGGCATCTCACTGTCGCGGGCTGGGACAGGGAGTCTAAGAAGCGTCCTGCCGTCCCGCCTCGCTGGCTGTGTGAGACAACTACCGTACCATCTCTCACATCGATCAAGTCGGTCATCCGACCATGGCAGCCACGCACAAGCGGTGTGAAGCAGCAAAAACTCAGATTGGGGTCGCACAAACTGGTGAGCAAGCCCCATGTTCCATGATACAGCCAACTCTTTAAGCATGTGTGTGAACCACCTGCATCGAAGTTTGAAAGATATTCCAACCACGCTAACCAGGGGCCTCATGGCCGGGTCAACCCATGTTTCAAAATGCAGTGGACCACCTTCACCTGTGCAGAGCATGTAGTCAGTGTAGAGTTGATAGAAACTGATCCAACCTGGCGCAACATTGGCTTCCTGCAACCCCTGAAGAAACCATCGCGCAACTGACAAAACCAACCGTTCACCGTACTTCTGACACAACTGTCTGGCCACCCACGTCACCTCCGGTGGTCCCCTCCAATGGGGCAAATTGGAACGTGGTGGAGCAATGTCAACCCTCGCTTCTTCGTGAACTTGTCCTTCAGTTTGTGCAGCCTGTTGATGAAAAACAACCGCCTTACTAATGGACATTTGAACAGCACGAATCTGGTGGGTGATGAATCCAGCATAGTCACAGTCACGCATGAACCTGTGGTGCATGTCCCAAAAACTCTGAGGTCGAAGGAAATGTGCTGCACGGGCTGCATGATCTACCAAACCATTGTAAAGGAAACACCATGACTCCAAAGCAGAGACACATCCCTCAGGATCACGGTGTGCGGCAACTTTGGTGATGACAACCCAGCCCGTACCGCATTCATTGAGCAAACCACTGAGTTGGGACCAGAGGTCAAAATGGCGACTATTGACTGATGGTTTCCATTGTTTGCCCAGCAGGGCACGAACTCGTGTAACAACCCCTTCATAATCACTCCAGATGCGCACTTTGAGCCGACTGTGGTGAGCAATCCGAACGGCTTCCAAAACAGCCCGGATTTCAGCCCTATACGCTGATTGGAGAAGACCCTGGAGCGGACTGGCTGCAAGAACCTTAGACAAGGGATGGCCATCAATGTTGCTAGAGCATGCTTGAACGACCGCCCAACTGGCTAACCGCCCAGCATGCGTAGGGTGGTGACATGAACCATCTGTGAACAAATCCAACCATTCATCACTCGGTTGGTGCATCAGGGTCAGGTCAAAAGGAGACTCCACTATGTTCAACAACGCTTGCAAATACTTCTGCCAGCACGCTGGTCTGAGGCCCCACCCGTAGCTGGTCAAAAACTCTGGAAGGAAAGGGATCATCGCCCAAACATTGGGGTCCATGTGGGCACGGTGGGAGTCAAAGGCTTCACATTGCCAGAAACGATGGTACCTGGAGTCAGTGCAGCTGCAAAATTGGCAAGTGTTCCCATCATCCTCCTGCCAGTGTCTTTGTGCATCTCTGGTAAAGTGTGCCCCGTTAAGGAGTTTACGACACAAACCAGCTTCTTCAGGTGATTGAGAAGCAAGCCATTTACGTGTACCCTGCACATCAGCAAGATGCAAGTCTTTGAAGCCCTGGCGGTGGGCGACTTGTTGGGACACCACCGCCTGCCACGAGAGTTGAGCCCGGAAATCAATTTCACCCATAGTACATTCGAACAGGCAAAAAGGGCCGAGGAAGTCTTCAATCAAACCATCAGCACGGACAGACCACCCCAGAACCTGAATCCGAGTCAACAAAGTCTGGGTTATGGAGTTACCAGGCATATTGGTACCTTCCCACGCAAGTCGAGTCAGGACTGGCTGAACAAAGTCCAACGCAGCGCAGTCCCTCACGCTTCGGATGGTTTGAAGCACGGACCAATACCCAGGATCACAAGAGGGATGTTCGATCAAGCCCAACTGAATCCAGGGGTTGCACCCCGCCCCATCTGCTTGGAGTCCTCTGACAGCTCCTGACCTCAACCGCTGGATTATGTTTCGGCCAATACCGGTGGATGCAACACCGTGAAGACCCTTTGGCCATGCTGCTGTGGTCAGCGCCCGGACTTTGAGTTTGTAAGGGCACGGTGACAAACGCAAACGATCCCATAGGTCATGTAGGGAATTTGCACGGGTCTGAAGGGTGTGATTAGTGTGTTGCAACGTCAACTGCAAGTGGGCCCCCAGGTTCCGCCCCCCATGTTCAACACGGTAGCCATGTTGCTTCAACTGTCGTCTGCCCTCTGCTGACAAGCACCAAACATAAGTCTTCTTCTTGTCCAGCTGCAGGTCCACCTTAGCACAGAATGACGCAAGGCGTTCCATGGCACCTTTGACAAACTGGGGGTCTTTGACAAGCAGCTGCCAGTCATCCACAAAACTCAGTGTAGTGCAGTGGGGGCTAAGTTCATCCATCCACCAGTGGAGCACACAGTCAAGCAGGATCATCGCTAGTACTGAGAGACCATCACCCTCAGCAAAGCCCGTGACCGACATGGTGGCAGGAGAAAAGTTCTGCCGAACCTCAAAGTATCTGGCCATTTGCATGGTGCAACCAGCCCAAGCTGTCAAGACATGCATGGGTAGACGCATCATACCAGCAAGTTCGAAAATCACTGGCCGGCTCAAACAATTGAAGGCTTTGACAATGTCACCAACAACACCTGACAGGGGAATTCCGCAATCATGGCTTTCCTCGATGGTCATAAGCATCGAATGCCAAACTTGGCTTGCATGACTCCCAACCCTGGATCCGTGGAGGCCTGGGGGAAGCCACTCATCAAGGGCAGCTATGATGTTTCGGGAGTGGTAGGAAGACCACAGCCTATACCCGACACTAAGCACAGTGATGGGCCGAAAGTCGGCCGCTGTGCGTGGTTGGGTGGTTTTTGCAAGTGACACAACCCTCCCCGCCGTCAGTTGTGCGGGCCACTCACCAGTGGCTTCGGCCAAGGCATAAAAGCTGCACATGCTCTGCAAAACGCCATCGGGCATGGCTCGGAAATCAGACAATGTAACACCATCAAGGCCTTTAGAGGTTTTGGCTTTCTTGCGTTTGATCTCATGTTTTAACCTGGGCAGGTTAAGTGACGGTGATTGGCATGGCACTGGGCGTGCATGGCGTTTGGCAAAAGCCAGGATATCATGCCACTGGCTCAGAGGGACATTCAAATGGCGTTGCCATCGGGCAGTCCATGTGCTCTGGAATTCAGCAAAAAGCTCCTCAATGGCACCAACCATGCGTACCTGGGTACACAGGGATCCGCAGGCATCTGGAACAGGCTGGTCAACCCAGACCCACTTGTCTTCACAATGCACAATGTTCAGCGGTTGGCCGTTGACAAAGATTGGTTTTGTCAGGTCCCACTGGCATGCCGTGTCAAGATGAAGGCACTGGGTATCATCATCAACATAGCAGATCTTGCTCTGTAAAGGCTGGGTAAGCAGATCAACACTGTCTAATCCAATTCCCCGTATGTCCTGGAAGATCAGCTGCGGTGATGCAAGCCGCTTGGCCTTGGCGGTGGCTCGGCTTGTGGCATGCAGTTTCTTTTCCAAATGTCGAAAGGCCAGAACAAACGAGGCATACATCGCTTCAGCAACTATATGGTTGGGAGGGACCCTGGGGCATTCGGCAGGGGCACCATGAACTGAATGTTCAGTTGTCAACCACCATTCACTAAAACCTGGATCAAACCCCTTGGCCCTGGTGATGGCATTCCATACATTGGCCGCATGGCATGGGTCGGCTTCAGGCTTTCTGGATCGCACGAAACGGACATACGCCTGAAGTCGGCGTGCTTGCTTATACCAGTGCGCATGCTGAACTGACATCCCAGTGAAATTGGGGGCCAAATCACCAGCACGGGGTGCTTTCATTGGTGCATGTGTCTGTCCAACAACCTTCTGAGGAGCCATAGTCTGGGCACGGCCACGACTAGCCTGAGGGATGGGCACCTTGCTGGCAGCATCAGCTGCACTTTCAACCTCATGCCAAAAAGCCGCGTAGCGTCTGGTTGCATGGCCGCTGGCTACAGGTTCAATGGGATCAAATGCAAATTGGGGCCAAGACAGCTCTTGGGGCTGTTTCCAAACAAAACGAGGGATGTCATGAACACTGCCACGGAACCGAGCTTGCAACACACTATGGTCAGGCCATGTGGTGTCGTCAATCTCAACAGACATCAACAGAGTTTGTAACTCTGGAGATATGTACATGAAATCAACCCTTGTTGAGCACTTGCAAGTGTTTTGGATCTGATGTCCCCAGCGATCGCTGGCAATGGATTGAATATCACGGAAGCCTGCTGATTCAAGGATCTGAAACGCTGCCACATCATGTTCTTTCAAATTGAAATCGCCTGCAACAACTCTCAGCCCAGTGGAGTACAGGCAAACCTGCGTGGCTACAGCATGCAGGAGCTGATCATTGTGATGAAGGTATTGTGGATGCCATGTTCCCGCCGATTCACCATACATGGTTCCCATGGTAACCCACATGTCATGCAGCAAAGTGGATGTGACCAAAACCCTGCTAGAGGCACTAATGTCAGGGTCCCAGGCGACAGGCAAGGCTCGTGTCGGATGCTTCGACAGTGCAGCAACTCCCTTCCAGCCCCCAGAAGTTTGAGAATGTGCACGTACAGGAACAGGATGACCGGTGATCAAATACCGGTATGGCGATTGAGTGACTCGGAGACCTCTACGAAATGAAGAAACTGATTTTGTGGTCAAGTGGGTCTCAGCAATGGACCACAGATCACCATGGCTCAAATACTGATTAATCACCTGAGCTTTCCCCGCCAACCCTGAAGGGTTGAAACACCCAATGCAGAAATCTCGAGGCGTCACTTTGGATCTTGGTCCTGGATGGGATGCTTCCCCAAAACGCACTCCAACAACCAGGGTGAGAAAATACAAAATCGACGTGAAACGATGGGGCCGAGTGCAGACAACCGGGCAGCTCATTCTGGAAATGCAGGTGCTACACACAAAAAGGCCAAGGCAAAACTGCAGGAAAAACATGGGGTTCAGCAGGCAGATGGCGCCAAACATGGAAATGGCAAGAGCCCCCAACACAGAAGCTTGGAGGCTGCCATCAGGGCCTGCTACCCCGCATCGTCACTCATGATCCTCCCGCGGGCGCTTGAGTAAGCTGCGAATCTGCGACATCTGGCTTTCGAAAAGGGCTTGCAAGTTCTGCTGCTGGGACTCGATATGGCCCCTCAGTTCAGCACCCTGGGTTTGCAGCTGATGTTGGACTGAGCCCAACTGAGCGGTGTGCCGGGCAGCATGGTCGGTGACTGTTGCCTCAAGTTGGGCATGCTTTTGCATCATGTTGCTCATCTGCTGTTCAAGCATCTGGACCCTGTCCGGGACGTCGTCAACTTCCATCTGATTGGAGCTTGCCGGCATGCTAGCCAGTACCGCCTGTTGGATCTTGGCTTCAAGCTGCTTCAGTCCGTCGGAGGCATCAGTTTGGCCAGTGCTGGACGGTGCATATCCTCCCCAAGGATCAGCAGTTGACCAGGGATCTGGGGGAGTGGCATGGGAAGTCTGCGTGTTGCACAAAGCAATGGTGGCCTGCGTGGCAACTGGCCTGGCTTTGGATTCCTTGGCATCCCTCGGGCCCTTATGTTTTGAAATCATGACATCCCCGTGGCCCATGGACAGCAATGAAGCTGGTGGATCTTCATTGGCCTGTATGAGCCACATTGCACCTTTGTTGTCAATTGAGGCAAGCGGCTGTAAAGGCCGGGCTTCCCAATCGATCTGCTGCAGGGCTTTGGTCAAGCTGCCCCGGTCTGTTCCAAACGGAAAAGGACCTGCCAGGAATTGCTGCTTAGGGCCAGCTGGCAGGTAGACTGCATCTGGTCGAACTGCTTTTGACAGCTCACTGGCATGGGTCGCCAGGGTTCTCAACCCAACTCGGTCCCCTACTCGGGCGAGGCCGATGGCCGTGGGATTGGTTTGGCACAGGTGATTCAGAGCAGCTGGCTGCAAACGCGTCAGCCACACAATGGCATAATCTTCATGAACTGTTCGGGAGTCAAGGGATCTTGGCTCAACGTAGATGCCGGCTGATCCACTGAGCTTGAGCAACGGTAAGACCAGACAACTGGGCACCCGGATGCTAACAGCAAACATGGTGGCACTACTTGGTGGTTCAGGCTTGTAGCCGTTCCGCAGGTATTGGCGCCGCCAAACATCAACCAGCGCATCTTTGGTATCAATCTTTTCATGATTGTGCCAATGAGGACATTGGCACCCAGGTTCTCGGCACATGCGCAACAGAGGGAAATGATGAACCACATACTTCATGGGCCCTTGGGTCAAATGATCCCATGTTCCTTCAATTTCATCAGGGAAGACCGTGATCCGCAAAGTGCCTACCTCAACAGTGTCAATGTGAATCTTACGGGATGCCTGGGTTTTCTCAACCATGCCTGAGCCAATCTGAACCATGATCATGTCAATCAGCATGGGTTCCTGATTAACCACACAATGGCATGGCACCGTGACTGCCTGATGCGGCAGCGTTGTTGTCACCTCAGCCATGGTGCTTTGCAGAACTAGCAGGGCCAGGGGCAAGTTCGACACTGTCTTGCCCTGTGCCAGGTACGGTGCAGCTTCGGCCTGAGTGACAATCACAACGCCTTCAGTGGCTGGACCAACCGCCTTCAAAGGTTTTTGGTGCAAAGGCTGAGAATTGCTCTGGAAGACACCGGCTGAAATCGCAAACTTGGCTGGGTCAAGACTCACAGGAGTCAGTTCAGGTGGCGTCTTCTTGCTTTTCTTACCACCTTTAGGGCGACCAATGGCTCCCTTCCCGGCTGCTGACGCAACTTTGGACTGAAGCTCCGCTGGAAGCAAGAACTGGAACTTGGATTGATTACCCAACGTCTTCAGTTGTTTCCAAGGAATCCGGGATCCCAGGGCATCAAGCACCTGCTGTGCGCCAATGGCACGGACTGCTGCTTCGGCTCGCGTCCCTGCATGCTCTTGGGGGACTCCATGATCAATCAAGACGGGGGCCAACTCCTGTTCAGCTTGATTGGCAAGGCCACTGGCCCAGAGGCTGGGCTGGATCCATTCAGTGCGGTGTTGAAGGGCAGCCAAAAACTGCGCCCGCAAACGTGCATGGTGGGTCAAAACTTCAGCATGATTGCTTGGAAGAGGACAGTCAAACATGAAATGGGCAAGAAAAGCCACTGCCAGTGATCCACAGCACCCCTCCACCTCGACAACCCGAGGCCACTGCACATGCACAAAGCCCGGCAAGTTCATGGCACCTGCGATCTGTGTGAACACCTGTTCAAGACTGGTATGGTCACTAGCAGGGTGATCCCATGTGTGAAAATGTAAGTCTCCCTGCCCAATAACAATGACGATGGGAATCCAGTGGTGTTGGACATGGGCAACTGTGATCACGGCCTCAGGCAAGAGGCAGTGGGAAAGAACCCACGCGGCACATCTTGTTCCCCCATGGACGATCCAATCAGCAAAAACCAAGGGGTCAATCTTTGTCCATTTCCGGTTTGCACGTGTGCCATTGGGTGAGCGCTGCAGGCGGGACAGCAAGTGGTCAAGGTACCACCGAATCTCATCATCAGCCCATTGGTAGCCTTGAATCTCAAGGAGCATGCTGCGTTCAGTCACGGACATTTTTTGTGCCAGCAAAGTTTGGACACCACCATCTGGCACACCAGAAACTGGTCGGCCTGTCAGAAACTCATCTGTGGGCCAGGAAAACAATGGCCTGTCAACAAAGGTTGCACCACCCTGAAAATTTTGGCCTCCAAAATTGATGTCACCAGGGCATGTGCCAAGACCATCAACACATCGCACATCAAGAGTGGAAAAAGTGGGCAATTTGAAGGGGAGTGGCCCACATTCCCCAATGACAAGCTGAGCATCCTCTGTCGTGTGAGTGAGTTCACCAGGTAGGTAACTCCTGCACTGGGCTTGGCAATGGTCATGAGCGCGCTGGACTGAGTCAACTCTTGTATTTCCCTGTGGCATCGTACTGGCACGAGGCCCAGAGGTCATAGGCACAGGCCACCCCTCAGAGAAAATGCCTCTGCCAGTCAAAGGTGGCATTAGGAGATCAATCACACCTCCATCTGGGCCACCTGTGTTCAGGCGTTGAGCTGCGTCCGTGGGCATTAAACAGGGGAGTGGCCCACATTCCCCATCATACTCATCCTTGACATGTACATGACGTGCTGAAGTCACCTGTGTTGCAGGACCTACCCCGTGAGGACTAGGCAGACAAGGGGACTGGCCATCAACATGTGACTCGGACGGACTGGCACTGGTCGGATGCACTGCGTGTGGGACACACCTAGGCACCATACCGACAGTAGAGGGACCTGGACCCTGGATACGGACGTGGGATTCGGATGCATGATCGGATGCTTCACCTTGCTCATCTGGCTGGAAACCCCTATTGCTGGGCCGGATGCCAAGCGATTGGAGGAAAGACCCTACCGGCATGGACGCAAGCAAAGACAAGACCATGACCCCAATCTTGCAAAGCATGTTCTTTGGGTCGGCCTGCCAGCGGACTTCCCTCAACAGGCAATTGGCAAGGGATGGGATCACTTACACTTCCATGGCCTGAGCCACGACATTCTCCAGCATCGGTTGCATGGGACACTGGAACACCATCATCATGTTCAGGAGCCGGCAAGGCATCTTTGGCCTTTTCAGGATGCATGGCAATCTCAATTTGCTGTTCTTGAGGTGTCATGAATGGCCCCTCGGGCAAAAGTCGGGATACCTCCGTGGGCAATTTGAAGGGGAGTAGCCCACATTCCCCAGGTGAAACTTTGTTCCCATCCCGCGGCTCTGAAGCATCACTTTGGCAAACTTCTCTGTGGTCACCTGACCCAATGGTTGACATCTCGGCAGGCGACAAGACACTTGAAGACATGGCAGGGGGCAAGGGGCCCAAAATCGATGACACAGACCTTGGGACATACAGGCAGACCTGATGACCGGCATCGTGGGTGTCAGACACTCGTTCAGAACCAGCTTGCATGGGTCCCTGACCTAAAATCCCTGGGAAACCCTCAGAGCTTATCGACTTGCCATGACCCGGTGCAGGGACAGGACCTGGGACGACACAAAACTGGGCCAGTTGGCCTGGGACAATGACGTCATGCATGGCCCACAGAGACCCATCAGACTTGAAGACTGTGACGGCTGTCCAATCAAAACCATGCAATTGACCTTCAGCTTCAAGCAATTGTCTGACGGTCGTGCCAGGTGCAATGCGTACATGGGCAATTGCTACATCTGGTGGGTAGAGCACTGCTGCACAGTCAGGCGGAACCTGGACCACATGGAAAATCGGTGGTTCCTCATGGGCAGTTGCAATTTCTGGCTCTGGTTCCTCACTGGCAACACTGATCGTTTCGAGTCGGCCATCAGCATCGACCTGCATTGAGCCAAAAGGGATCCTGTCATCACAAGGCTGTGGCGGGGACTCTTGAAGCTGCCGCAAAACACCAGCTAGACAGTGCTCAGACATCAGGAAATCCCACTGATCGGACATCAGGATGGCATCAATCCTATCCAAGACAAAAGGAGCCCATCTACAAATGTCATCACCATGTTCATGTGCTCTCACATAGTCAGGGTAGGGCCAAATGGCCTGACTCTTGGCAATCAGAAGGGTTCGCAATGCATGCAAGTGGTCAATGGGAGAGAATTGACGGATGCCTCGTTGCAGCTCTTCAAAATGTCCAATGACATGTGCCCCGATCCAGGCAGCCTGCAAAGGTGATGCAATCTGACCTGCTGCAGACAACGTTAACAATGGGTTGTCACCAAAGTCAATGGTGGGGTCTTGGCCCACCAGGATTCCACATTCATTCGGGTGGATGTGACGATACCTGCAATGACCGAGCTGGTCAGGAGCAGATTTCACGACAACTCCAAACAAGCCACGTTGCTGCAGTCGTTGTTGCGACAAAGGTCCTGAGCGGCATTTGCATGGGCATGGTCTGAGCTGTGAACCCCAAGCATGCAATGTGCAAGGCAATACCCCTGATCTGTTGATGGCATATGGGCAACCCTCCTCATGGTCAACCTGGAATGCCTCCAATTCATGCTCCAACAAAGCCAGTTCATCTTCATGATTGGATGGCCACCTAATGATGTAAGGCAGGACATGCTTAATCACGGTGCAATCATGTAAGGTCGGCCATGGCTTGAGACGAATCGGTCCCAGGGCTGGTGCACTGAGTACACACCACCATCGGTTGCGGGCACATGGCCAAATGTGCTGGAGACGTAACACCACATCTGAGAAATGAAACCCGGTTTTTTGGCAAAAGGCACGGATGTGTTGCATCACATAAGCGTCAGACTGGGCCGGCTCAACGCACTCTATCACTACCACTACCGACCTGAGGTAGTGAGCACAGGCAAGGGTGGCTGGAAGGCTCAGTGACCTTGGATCCAAACCACTTCGGCCGTCTCCCAAAGCTGAGTAAGGCTGACATGATATGCCTGAGCTGAGCGTGGTCGATCTTGGGCACTTTTCCCACAGCGCAGCCACAGTTGAAAGCTGGGTGATGTCCCCACACACAGTATGGATAGGCATCTGTGATTGGTACAATCCAGTCATCAGGGGGTTGAAATCACAACAAACCTGAGGTGAGAAACCAGTGGAGAGGAGACCCTGGCCTAACCCCCCATATCCGGCACACAACTCAATGACTTCACGGACTGACTCCCAGCTGCACGCATCATGATGAAGAATGTACGAGTCCTCATCAGCTACCAGCAATGGTCGCGGCATCGGCCGAGCAACTCTGACATTCAACAAGGAGTAAGTGAGACGTCCCTGTGGCACCAAACCGGAAAAAGAAAACAACTCTTTCCCAATCACAGTACTCATGAGATGGTTCACCGTCGATCCATCAAAAGTCACCATCGAAGCAACGCAGGAGATTCGCTCTCCACCAACCAGAGCCCTGATACAGGGTGCATACTCAACCATGGCTACTACAAACCTCAAAGTTTCAGCATGGACCGTTGGACCCGCGGGTAGGTACTTTGAGCCCCAACTTGGTTTAATCAACATTTATAAACAATAGCAACTAGTTCGATATATCTACAGTACATGTATCTACCATTGTATGGACCATACGTGCCACGAACCCTAGTGAAATTAGAATTGTAAACCAAGTTAGCTAACGAACTGGGGCACCACTTTGTAGCAAACCTGAGCGAAACATGTGATTTAAACTCAAGATACTGCCTGTTTGAACTGCTAAAATGAGTCAAGATGATGATCAAAAGCAACACATATGAGGATTTAACTAACAAAATGATGGCTAGTATACGCTCTGGCTATCTAATTTAAAAGAAAACTGTCCATGGACATTTTTTCTTTACATGATAATTACAACTATTGAAACTTCACATCTTGACGTGCCAAATGTCTGAAGGTTTGAATGACATTTCTGAAGTGTTTCTGCTTTGTTTTTAGTGTGTTTGCAACTATTGTTCAACTTGCTGCAAGATTTCTAGCAAGTGATCAGGCCATTCCACGTGCTTTACCCTGCTTTGAGCGCCAGGATAGGTGATTCTTTCAGGCATCAGAATGGTTCATAGCTGTCATTTTGTTTGCCACTTTGCATGGTCTAGGTGCTTCTTTTATGCCCTACTGACACTGATGTCGTTTGAATGCGCGGCAAATGCATGCGTGGTGATAGCATCACTGGCCATTCACTGTGCGAAACTTCCCGAAACAGCAAACTTGCAAACGTCAAACGTCAACAAAAAGCATTGTGAATCACTGTGCGAAACAATGGATCAACACATATATTGGACATGCGTTTCGCTTGTCATCACTCATCCATTATTCAAGTGTATCACTTCGCCAAGTTTTTTCAGTTTCGGCCTCTCAGGTCGCCAAGGATCTGTTCATCTCCAGCGTAGTGCAGTGGGATGCCAGGCCAAAAGGTGATGATCACCAAACAAACGAAGAAATGCTGAGTGCCTCCAGTTGAGATGTGTCAACTGATGTCAACTGGGTCAACTATATCTGAGATATACCCGGCCTGGTAAAGGTTTACATAGCGAACTGGAAAGATCCACCCATGCTATTAATTAAGGGGTAAATCAACTTTAAACGGCCATTTTCGATAGCTATGTTAGTTTACCAGAGGGTATCTGGTGCACTGCATCTAGAAGCTAGAAATTAATAGACATGAGGAAATCCAGTAAGAGCTTTTCTTCATGCCATGGAATGCCCATGGCATATCCCTTAAGATATACCACTTCTAAGGGACACATCATGTGCCGCTCTGTGAGGACGAAGCCAAAAGTGAGAGGTTTTCAGCATCAGAGAGGATGAAACCAGAAACCGTTTGGCAATTGCATCAATAAGGAACATACCTGTGGAATTCTGGAATTGATACACTCAGTATGGATGTGGAATGATGTGGATGTGGCTAGGAAACTCACTTTGTAGCTCCCTAAGGCTCTCCGAATCCCATTCGATAGCCACGGCGCTGGTCATGCTCTGCATCCGCCAATTGTCATGGTTGTTGCCTTGGACACTGCCCAGTGCGGGGTCCACCGGGTCCACCATCCCCTCATTTCAGGAACCCAGATGAGGCCTGGAAGGCTCTGAGGCGACTTGTAACTTGATATCATTGCTGTCCTAGACCACCTAGACCTGACGTATCTAAGTAGAGATTTGGAATGATTTGGAAGGATTCATGGTTTCTCCCTATATTTGACTTACAGTAAAATTCACTTAACCCCACCAGCTCCATCAGTTGGATCTTCACGAGTTCCAAGGGGCAAAAGTTCCACATGGAGTAGCGTCTCTGACCTGAGGCCTTGCAGTGGTCAATGCCCCGCAGGGTCTGCTGGAGATTCTGTTCTGAACTTAATGTATCTGGCTAGCGTCAAAACATCTTAAAAAACATCCTGAAACATCTTAAAACTCAGGTAAAAGATACTAAACTCCACCCTATTCCACCTCAAAAAACTGATATTGGGTCAGGTGATGCATGGGATACACTTCAAAACCACCACAGTCACCCCCTGTCTCGCCTGGTCATAGGTGTCCAGCATGTTGCCTCAACCACCAAGAATGGAGAATGATACACCCAATGAATAAACCATCCCCAGTTTTACCATTTTGATGAGTGTTTTGTTTATCCATCAAAAAATGGGTGGTTTGCTATTGCTTTACTAACATTGCCATGTAGTTAGATGATAAACATGATGATTGACCTATTAAACATGGTGTTCTCCCTATCAATCCCCCATGGATTATTTTTTTATGATACCATCGATGTTAGATGTCAGATCTCGGCTACCATCCCACACAGCCGCTGAAGGTCATGGAGTAGCGCCGCCGATTCATTTTAGCCCCATGTGAAACAAGAATCCCAAGTTTTGAAGATAAAATATCATCTTGAAGTCATTCAGAGATGAATCAACTATGTTTGTTGGACTTTCCCATATGTTTAAAACCTTTACTGTAAAAAAATACATAAACAATGGGGGCTAAAATGCTGGGGGTTGGACTATATGTTTGTTGGACTTTCCCATTTATTAAAAGCTTTACTGTAAAGAACACAACCACAATAAAACCATGGGAGCTGGGGGGGGTCAACATCCATGGCCGGTCGCACCAAGGGACTTTCCTCTTCATAGGCTAAGGCGAAACCATCCGCATACCTCAGTCCAGGAGGCACTCGAAACGCCAAGTATTGCAACGTCAAATCGAAATGCCAAGTCAACTTTGGATAGGTTTACTTGGTTTACTTTTCCTACTGAAGAGTGGCTGTTTAAGTATATCTGGATAATCATCTGTGGGAAACCGAATAAACCTAGCATTTAGGAATGGTTTTTACAGCATCCATGGTGATTTCTGGGGATTTACTTCTGGGATCACCAGCCAATCTCCACCATCCATAGCCAGCGACTGTGGCTTGCCATAGACGAACGCGGTGAACATGTACCAGTAATAGGAGTAGACCTTGCAACGCTGGGCGCCGGGAGACAGTCTCCAACACATCAAGTCCCAAGTCTGGCCCAAAAATGCCACGAAAGTGCCCCGGAGTTGGAGTCTGAAACAAATTCACCCATAGTCATAATCCCCACATTTTGAAGAACGGCTGGCTTTCAATCTGGTGGATGGCAACTGCCCACCAATCTTGGGGCAAAGCATTGAGATCAGATATGCAAAGAAATAGGAAATTCCATTCCAGAATCTGGTATCAAGAGTGTCTCACAGTCTCACTATTCCGGATGAGTTCCAATCATTACCCACCTGAAACATGGATACTGTTTTCTGTACTTCCCTTAATTTACTAACATACCAAAAGTCAAAAACTAGTGTCAGGGCGCTCAGATGCTGCTACTTCGGGCGTGCAACAAAAAGCTGTTGGCATCGTCTGGGCCAAGGCACAATACCTCCGTTCATGGTAGGAGGCCCATCGATGTATTGATTTGTTCCATACCTCAGCAAGACACCCCACAAGCAAGTGCAAGTTTTGGGAGGGGGGGCTCGGTAGCATTGGGGACTGAAGACTTAACAAGAAATCATGTTCATTTGGATAACTATATAATAGAACATGGCTAACGGCATGCCCATGTATCTATATTCAAAAGCAGTCTGCCGTCTATTGGTCTGCCAGGCAGTACATACTATCTTATTTCCCCATGTAAGGACATACCTCAAGTGTTCAATCATATCTTGACTGTTGGTTACATCCCAAATGTCATACCACTCAGCACTGTTTTCAGTGATGCAGCTGCACCAGGAGATATCCTAGGCAGCACCCAATTCGATTGGTGGTTATCCCCTATACCCGATTCAACTTCATCATACCACATTTGGGGATGTAACAGCAACATTTTTGGAGATCAATCAGTGTTGGTTCCCCCTATCCCAAACACGCGAAAATTATTGGGATAGGCCGGGATAGGCTCTGTTTTTATCAAAGAAGCAATGGAAAATCCATGTATTCTTGCAGGAAATCATCTATATCAATGAATATCAATGAAAGCTGGAACTACAACAATCCTCGAGTTTTCATTGGAAAGCAAGGAATAACAAACATAATCTGATGTCAACTCGGGATTAATAATCTCTGGTGATTAGCCCACAATACCGGATAGAACTTCATGAATCAGTTTGAATCTCGGGCATTCCATTCTGTTCACCAGTTAATCATCATTATCCTGAAATGTCGAAGAAATGTCGAAATGTCCATCTGGGAAGTATTCCCCAGTTTCACAGACATAGACATATTGTGACATACGTATGAAAATATCATGGAGATACTGGGATTCTCATTATGGATGGTGATAAAAACCAATGGGAACCAGGCATATTATAAACCCCCATATTTGTCTTTTTGGTCAAGTATCATAGTTTCTTGATTAATCATATTCCCCCATATCAATAGTTGAATGATGTTGAATTCTACAGTAAATCCCCTGGATCTGATAGTTAGCCTCGATAGTAATCAAACCTGGCAGGAAATCCCCGATGGAGGTGTAACACGGGAACGAATCGTCGAATGAATGGCTCCATTTCCCCATGGATGACGAAGGTAAGTCACCACTTGGAGGATCCCACTTCGTGGTGATTTAATAACCCTCACGAGTAAGTCACCGAAGCAGATTATCCCATTTAGACATGGCTGAGAACTATGGTTACTGACCAGTTACTAAGTGGGACGATCAGTAATCATCATTCATCATCATTATTGACCATGGTTAACTACTATTACCCTTTTGTTATTTTACATATAGCCATGGAAACTCACCATTTTAATAGCTACATCAACGAACTAAATGGGTCATTTTCCAGTTCGCTATGTTAAATAACCAGAGGATAACATCTATGAACATGAATTAACATCAATTAACATCAATTAACCACTAGTAACCATCACCAATCATCAATTACCCTCTGGTAATTTAACGTAGCTATTGGAAATGGCCATTTATAGTGGATTTTCCATAGTTACGTATGTTAGTTTACCAGAGGGTAACATCTATTTTCACCACTCTTGTGGTGGTGAAATCCCGCACTGGCTGATGTCTGATGGCATCCCAATCCGCTGGGGCTTGGCACATGGCGTGGTCCCGGCCGCGGCCGGTCATCGTCGCGTAGCGCTCCGGCGTGACGTAGAACTCCCCGAAGATGCCTTGGGGAACGGTGAACCGACGGCTGGGAGAATAGTAATTAGATGTAATATACATCAATTATCTTTATAATACCTAATCATCTCAATTAATAAGATGTAATAAGATCAGTAATTATCTTTATAATTCCTACTTGGTGGCTCATCCCAGTTAGTAAGTGGATTATAACCCCAGTTATAAGTGAACTAACCCTACTTAGAGGGGTATAACCTACTTACTAACTGGGGTGAACCACCAAGTATTAATAAATAATATTTAATGAGATCTGTAAATAAGTATAATTCCTATCAACATAGCCTATGGGACTGGAATATCATATTATATATTTAATTGATGGGATGGTTCTATTATGTTCTATTAGTATACTATAACTATTGACTTATACATGTACGATGTTGTTCAGTGAGCATCCGCATCTGTGACCAATCACAAATTCCATTGATCATTTATCATCATGAAACATATCCCCAAGTTGTTTTGCAAAAAAAAAACATATCCCGAATTTGGCTCCATCACCAAGATGCCAAAGCTCTTTTTGCCAAGACTTTTGGCGTGTGCTTTCACTGCAGGCACCCAAGCCTTATAGAAAACCAGCGGCACTTGCCTGGCGGCAAGACCGGACGAACCACATCATTGAGATCATATGGGGGGGTTCTTTAAAATAGAGGATCCCGAAAACGATGGGTTTCAATTGGTTTCAATGCTAAAATTGTCTACTTATTTCGATGACTTGAAGGTACTCCCAACTTTAGGAGACCTACATATCTTACTATAAAACCAATACAAATCATCCACATTTATCCAAAATTCAGGAAGTTGAATTTCAGCCATGCCCAAATGAGATCTGAGCGACAAAGATGGTGCTAACAACTGCAGAAAATTGAAAAGCAACAACTGGGTTAGACCCAGTGCCAGTTGCATTGTCAAGACGCGAATGGTAAGATCATCCAAAAATAGGGTTGGACATAGTTGGCAAATAGTAATTTATTGATCATATAGATGTATATATGGTACACAATAATTGAGGGTAAAACATTAATACTCAAACCGCTCACGAATCTAACTTGGTAATCACATGTATGAGAACATGTGTATGCAGGCATCTCTCACTTAAGACCGCCGATGCTGCACCGAGTAGAGATTTTGCCATTTGAAAAATATAGAACAAAAACATCATGAATGCCTTGTTTAAAAGAAATTATGATGATATGTGGATTGTCTAATGACTGTATACCAGCTTCACAAGTGAAATCAATTTTAACTGGTTGGTGGTTTTAACCATCTTGAAAAATATGAAAGTCAGTTGGGAAGGATTATCCCATATATTATGGAAAATAATCCAAATGTTCCAAACCACCAACCAGTTAAACTGTGCATAGTGGATGACTCCTTAGCAGCACATTCACGAATGCCAAAGCTGGTTCATACGGATGGTTCATCACAACAAGAACAGCTTTGAAACACATCACAGGCTGAGCCCCTAACAGAAAAGTCAACTGTATTTATAAACATGGAGAATCGATTTATACATATCTATGATATTAAATACTAATCTATATAGATTAATATTCACCCAATTAATGTATAGGTTTACCCTCCGGTAATCAAACGTGGCAATGGACAATCCATGACAATCCCCTATCAATACAGGTTTCTAGCTGGGAAAATCATCGATAAATGACTGGTTGCTGGTTTCAACCCCTTTGAAAAATATGAAAGTCAATTGGGATTATTGTTCCCAACTGAATGGAAAAATACAATTCATGTTCCAAACCACCAAGCAGCAAAGGTATTGTTGTCCCCTAGCAATACTTGAATATTGTTACTGCTGCTGATTGTAAATTCCTAAAACATATCCTTCTTATATGGTTCTAACCTCATCACCTTCTTAAATTCGTATGTCATGATATATATATATATATAATGTATTGATGATTTATTAATGGTTGTTATATGAATGGTTTAACCAGAACATCGCTCTGCAATCCGGCGATCCGAAGCCCAGTTTTCTTCGCGAGGCACATGGGGGTGTCCACCCGAAAGCCATCCACATCGCAGCTGGAGATCAAGGCATTCGTCATGGCCTCAGCTGATCTCCAGGACTCCACGAAAAGAAGGGTTGTAGCTGGGAAAATCATCTATAAATGGTAACATCCTGGGATGATATAATATAATATAATATAATATTATATTATATTATATTATATTATATTATATATTAAATATATATATTATTATATATATATTATTTAAATATTATATATATATATTATATTATATATATATTATATTATATATTATATATTATATATTATGTATTATATATTATATATTATATATTATATATTATATATTATATATTATATTAAATTATATTATATGATATTATATTATGTTATATGTTTTATTTTATTAAATAAAAACTATAATATAATAAAATATAATATAACATAATATAACATAATATAATATTTTATAATAAATAATATAATATACAATAAAATATAATGTAGTATAAAAAAATATTATAATAAATAATATTACATATAATATAATATATAATAAAATATATAATTTAATAAATAGTATAATGTATCATAAAAATGTAATATAATAATAAATAATAGAATAAACAAAATAATATATAATATAGTTTTAATAAGTAATATAATATATCTTAAAATATATAAAAAAAAATATAATAAATAATAGAATAAATAATATAATATATAATAAAATATATAATATAAAATAAAATAAAACAATATTTAATAATAAATATATATACATGTTTTTCCACTTGCACGCTGCCGACTCCAATGCAGCGTTGCATAGAATCCCGCGCACCCTCTCGATGGTTGGCTTTCCATTCATCGATCTGACGGAATCGAGCTCTTCACCATTCCCCTTTTGCATCTGCACATGGATACTTGCCTGCCCTGCCTGAGAGATCCTGCCTGAGAGATCCTGGCTGCAGACAACATCGTTGGTTTGGTCCTTGACACCGTGTAAAACGAGTGGGCGAGAGGAAAGATATCCTAGTATGCCGCGTCGAACGCGCAAACACCCCCATGAATCCTGCCATGAGTAGGCGAAGGGGTTGCGCTTGACCTCTGTGAAGTCTTTCCCAAGGGGCTTCAAAACTGTGATGAATTCAGGCACCAGCAGCTATAGCCCCCCCAGGACGTGCTGAGAATCCGTGAAAACGATGGGAGAATTGTAGGATAATCAATATAATCAATGGGATAAGGGGATTGCTTAACCAATAAGGGATTACGATAGTGATATAATGGGGAACATTTACATGAGTTTTCCATCCATAGTTTGGTATGACCCTCTGGTAATCAAACATGGCAAGCTGGAAAATCCTCTATACATGGCTGTTTAAATGGGAACATGATCTATACATGATCGGTTTAAAATTGCCATGTTTGATTACTGGAGGGTACCCCCATCAGCAAACTATATAGAATAATTAAGACATTGTGATGTTAGTAATTTGTAAATGGTCATTTTTCCGTTTTTCCCCATCCATTTGAAACTCGCTTATCAGCATGTTCGTATTGCCATGTATTACTCTGCAATATCTTAGAAATTTAATATAGATGCATGGAAAATGATCTGGTGGGTTTCTTCCATATCCATTTTAATTAACTTGAGGGTAAACATATAACATCAAATAACCAGTTCCGAAGAGCAAACCGTTGCCGAACTCCTGGAGTAGATTCTCCTTCCGGGTATATATCTGCCATTACCTACGGAGAAAAAACAAATCTGTTTTGGATGAGGACACCACAACTGGGTTGATCTTCAATCACTAACCAAACCTGCCCTTCGCTATCAAACCCAGTAAAAACAAGCCCTTCGTAGATGCGCCTATGAACAATGGTGACAATGGTGAATGTCTGCCAGGTTTATCAAACATGGCAAGTTGGAAAATCCTGGTGGCCTAGCCGAACGGGAGTCGCTTAGTTTGCTGGGAAAAGTCATCGAACTGAGTGGATTCTCCAGCACGGTGGAACTGAGAAGGCAGCGGAGAGTATGGATGGTGAAAAAAAGGCCCATCAAGGCATCTGACCATCTTTCATAGTCCAAAAACTGCTGGTTATCTGGTTATGGGTATGTTCCATTTAGAGATTTTAGAGCAACAAAACCATCCATGATTAAACATGATTAAACTACCAAGGTTGGGTGAACATTTAAGGCCATAAAATTCGGAGGTAAATCCCCATGAACTCCCCATGAAAGTGCCCTGTTCACAGTTATTATGGAGTTATAACTCCTATCACTAAGGTGAAGCATAGTGAAATATATCATTAAATAATAGGACATAATAATATCATAAACAAAATCACATAAATCCTCAATTATCCCCAATTTAGCACCGCATCCCAACATAATTTGGAGGTAAACGGTGACGCATGGGTTTTTGCAGTCCAGGAAACGATGTATTTTGCCTGCACGCGACGATGTTCCAGACGCAAGTCGTCCATGGTGCCGTAGAGTTTACCTCGTTTTGGAAATTGTAGAGGATCAAAAAGCGAAGATATCATGCGATTTATATTATCACTATAAGTCCTATCATCATCATAATCATCAAAATCATCATCATTATTATCATCAGGAATATGTAGCAATAAGACCTACGTATACAAACACTTCAAATGGGTCACATTTTTTCTTTCAGCACTGCAAGGTTGGAGTATTTATCGAATCAGTTTTGGTGGATCTTCTCATGATATGACACTATTTCCAAAGAAGAAACAATACATTTGGTATTCCGTATTCCCATTTAATCCATTTTAATCCCTCCGCCTGAACATTAAACACCAACCGAAATCCGGTGGAATGAGGGAGGACTATTTGAAAAACTCATCCAACAAGAGAAAAATATCAGGTTTCTTGTGGGAACCTCTAAGGATATTTGAGTTTATCTTGTGGAAACCTGATAGGATGGTTCCCAATTCATTGTTTTTTTCTTTAACACAGATGTGAGTTTCCAATCAATTGGGAACTTGTTTTTAGGTCTGCAAAGTAAACGGCATCAATGCGCTTGCACAAGCCGCACCAAAATTGGTCCATTGGGGTTGGTCAAGAAACATAGATGGGTATACCATGGAGCATAGAATGGCAATTTTGTTTCGGAAAATAACCGTTTACCCTCTGGTTATTTAACACAGCCATGGAAAATGGCCCATAGAAATAGATGGTTTACCGTTCTCAAAAATGGTGGATCTTTCCATGGCAAACTGTTAGTCATAACCAGATGGTAGATTCGTTTAGATACCATGGAGTTTCAGTCGGGTTTTTCCAGGCATGTTCGGACCTGAAACTGAATCGCAGACGCGCAGCTCCATGTCTTGATCGTCTGCTTGCCAAGGTGCCATAGTGAATTTGGAAAGGATCGTAGTAGTCCTGTCTCCGTGGTCGAACCGGATTCCATCGGATTCCTAAACCACCTACCACCCAGGAACTGGCTGGTGATGAAAGTAAGCGTTTTATTGAAGCCATCATTCATCTGCAAAAATCTGACCAGTTTTACCTTAAGAATCCGAAAGATAACTGGGAAATACACAAGGACCATTCAACAAAATCATTGAGGAAAGTATTCGTCAGCTAGGATGCCGGATTCAGACTTCTGGAAACCAAAAGTTTGTCATGGGGGGTTCCTAAGTCATGGTGGGACCATGTGGTACCCCATTCTTTTGGGATGGTTTACAATGGATGTGAAATTGTGATGATTTCTTGGTACCCCGTTCTTTCAGGAGTCCATGTGGCAAAAATATGTCAAAATGCCGTTTTGTTTGGGTTCACAGACCATGTCTAATCTTACCGCACATTTTAAGTACACACTGTAGCTGGGGCGATCCATTTGGGTTTGTCTGAACGTAAGCTACAATTTCCAACTTGTGGACATACACACACACACATGGATTGTTGTTTTTTGGGGATGAATCCCAAGTTCATCTCTCCTGGTTCAATCATTTTTAGGTAACTCAGCCCGAATAATCTGATGAATAAACATGTTGCAATTCGGAGATCCGATTCAAGGCTGCCCAGGAACACTGAGAATGATATAGGACTAAAAGTCATTCTCAGTTTATAAGTCTATATCATAACCCAATCAATTATAGAACATTCTAAGTCTATCTTTACCCAATGGGCAACCACGAGCTGTCCTGCAGATCTCCGTTATGATGGAAGTCGCTGCTGGAATATGTACCTCCGTAAGGTCAAACACTGGGATGACGAGCCATGACCAGCCCAGACTACTCCAACAATGGGATTTACCGGCCATAGACAAGGCCTATGTAAGGGCTATGTAAGGGGATATAGCTTCGAAATATGGCCTTATATGGTACAGTACCTCCATTTTAGGATCTGGAATTCCCATTGATCAATGCACAAAAAAGGATGGTAGGGGTACAAGAACAACGACGGTGATATTTATTTCATTGGATACGACGGCATATAGACCACAATATGATCTATGTGGATCTGCACAGGGGGGATTTACCCCAACCGAAATGGGGGATATCGTAGGGATAACCAACTACACTGGGATGATAATTGGAACTAATTCGATATTCGATACAGTGGGTGTAACCACCAAAACTGCCATATTTTCAATGGACACATTAATATGTTCACATTATTTCAAGATATTAACCAGTTATGTATATATATATATATTTATCTATTTAGATGTAAAAGGCTTTAGAAGGATTTCAGTCCCTCTTTATTGCAGCGGCTTTAGCCGCACCGCATGAAATCCCCATCCAAGTGCCGTGGATCACCCTGACATTTACATATGGCGCCTTAAACGACATCTCTTGAGGACTTAACCACAACTGTTACTGTATGCATGTATGCATGCATGTATGCATGTATGAAATTTGAAATTACTTAAATATAGATACATACATATCATGATTTTGATACGAGTGTTGGTGCTCAAATGAGATTCATTGTTGGTAAAACCTCCATTTTTGATGCTGAATTCCTCATGTTCCCTGGTGAAATGCAACGTTAAAGCCCAATGTTTCTGGATGAAACAGGGTCAAACCTACATTTTCCGGGCATTTCAATCACATTTTCAGAGAAACAAAAATGCCAAAGATATCCACAGATCCAATTTTTCATAGTTGGGGGGGTCAAAAAACCTGGTACCCGTTCACCCCAAAATACATATCGCTTGGATTTATGGGATGTTCGTCTGCACCTCGACCTTCGTCTTCCCGTGCTTCTCCGTGTTGACCATAGACTGTGCCTGCTTCCAGGGCCGTAGTCGATCCGTTGGATCAGCAACCGGTTTGGGAAATATGTAGCCAAATTAGTTACCATCTGGTTATTTATGATTATTTAACATAGCCATGGAAAATCACCATTTTAATTAATAGGTAAGCCATCTATTTCTATGGGCCATTTCCCATGGCTATGTTAAATAACCAGAGGCTAATCAAAAATATGGCAATCTAATAACACCTGGTAACATATCCGATAATCACATAATATCTCATGTCTAATGTCAAACAGTCAAACATATGGTAATCTAACATAACATCTAGTAGCATATGACATATCTGATAATTGCATAATCGAATGAATGCCGTGTGTCATATAACCAGCATTTTCGAATCCCAACCCGGGAGTTTTGAATACGCCACATTCGAGGACAGAGGACATTGGCACACTATACACAGTATAAGGGAATCCGGAAACAACAAACAATCCCCAATTGTTTTTCATAGGGTACACCCCTACAACTTGGAGGATTCCAACTAACTATGTTACATCAGTTAAGACCTGAGCCTTTTATGTTCCATGGATGGGTCAAGCCTAAGTATGGGGGGAACCAACATCCAGCACCAGCACCGGTCGCACCTGGATACTTAGCATCTGGATCCCACGTGTTGTTGTACCAGAAATCCTGAGAGGCTGAAAAAACGGCTACGCGATCATTCACTGAGTTGGCAATTCTGGATTTCCTGGAGCTATATTATTATATCATATTAAATTATATTATATCATATTGAATTATATTATTCTATTAGATCCAAAGTTCTAGTAAACCTATGAAAACTATGTAAAACTGCTTGCTTTGCACTAGAGAATTCATGAGGAATTCCATGTGCCGATGAGCTAAGTCATTGATCGACAGGAGATGCATCCAAGGCACTTGGTTGATAGGTTTCCGCAACCGTTATCATCCCCAATATCGATTAGGTTGTACAAGTCCCTATATTCATCCATCAACTAGGGCTTTTTTCATGGCTCAATAGGATGGATCAAGAGACCTACAAGGTAGTGCCGGGAGCTAAAAAAAACTAACTTGGTAAGTCCATAACTCCAATTTCACGATTGGGTTTATGGTACGTAGATATATCGAACTAGTTAGTATGGTTTATAAACCAACCAATATAACTGGAACCAACTTGCAACTGGGGTGGCAGCACCTTGTATGAAATACCTTTTGGAGGGGATAAACCTCGAGCCTTTTCCAGCCTGAGGCGGAGAGGAATCCCAGAAAGGTACCAGGGGGAACTGACTCACATCATCATCATCATCATCATCATCATCATCATCATCTTGATCATACTACGGGGATTTAACCATCATTTACCACTCATTTACCAACCATTTCCCTATGATCCTTAGCCATTCATTAGCTACCTGACCCAATGGTCAGCCGTGCATCCATATATGGCTGTCGCCCTGCAGGCGTCCAATGCAACTCATCCACCGACCTGGGAAGATTGGAAAACCTCAACCATGGAGATACAATTATGGAGATATGTTGATCAACTTGGAACACAATGCTTTAATGAATATTCGGAAATCTGTCAATTACAATGTATATATAGATATCATAAGTAAATATATCTACAATCATATACATATATATATATATATATAAATGTAGTACGTAGTATTTCACACAATGGCTGGCTCACAAGTGTTGATAGGCATACCCAGAATAAATGACGACAATCCCCATATGGAAGAGGAGGTTCGGGGTTGAACCAATGAGGTCGCACCATAATTTACCGATTGATGAAGCACAGGACTGTCCCACTTAAACAAAGAGCCTGACAAACATGCCAAAAACTATCCGAAAATGATACATCATGACTGGTTGGTGGTTGACCTACCCCTCTGAAAAATATGAGTTCGTCAATGGGAAGGATGACATCCCATATATTATGGAAAATAACAAATGTTTGAAACCACCAACCAGATGAATATTGATTCTAGTGATTACAAACAAACATATATAGCTATTTAGGTTGACCTCTGCTTCGGATACAATCTAGATATAAAACCCAAACGTCAAAACAAACATATCGATACTGGACATTTATCTCGCGAAAAAGATTGCCAAAAACAACAGTGGAGGTTTCCTAAAATGGGAGTACCGACAAATCGCATCGCTGTTTTAATAGGAAAATGATCAATCCATTGGAATTGGGGGTGTACCCAAGTTTTCATGACAAAGCCAAGGTTTCCAAAAATGGGCGTACTCGTAAATGATCCCAGATGTTCATTCCGGATGTTCCATAACAACACCATCCAGCTATTGGGGTTGCCCCATGACGTCATGGAAAGCCCCATGGAAAACCAACGGTCGAAACCAACGGAATCGACCGCTCTGCCGTGACACTTCCTGGGCCGCAGAAGATACTCTCGGAGGCCGCCCTCCGTCTCGTGGAAGCGCCAGGGTGCGCGATTTTTGCGGTGACCCTCGAAGAAGAACTCGTTGCCTCGAGGAGAGGTGGGCCACTCCAATAACTTGGGCTGATTAGGGGGATATAACATGATATAATATTATATATATACACACTGTAATTATATAGCTATATAATTATATAGCTATATACTTATATAGCTATATAATTATATAAATAGTTAAAGGGACATTATAGACCAACTTAAAACTGTGAACATGACTCCAAGTTCACTAGGGTTGATTAGGGGGATACAACGAACTAGTTAAAGGAGATTATGAACCAAAAATATAACTGGGAGGCACCAGCCTGTATATTATATTGATAGTACAAGCCTTTAGTTGCCATAGTAACATATAGTAACTGGTTGGAGTTGTAGCAAGTGCTTAGTAACTGGATAAGTAACTGACTCAATCATGGGATTTGCTAGCCAAAATGGATATATACCAACTAGTCTTGTTATCCACTTAGGATCCCTGGGATGGTTCATGGGTACTTCCACCAAAAATTAGAATATAGTGGGTATATTTATATATAATCGGGATAGAACCAATTTATGGGATATTCTAGATAGGAAGTACCCACTGAGAATATTATTTATATATATAATGGTATATCCTATGTTTTAGGCTATGGGATATGACATGATATAACTAACTCAACTGGAATTCATGAGAACATTCATGGGATATATAGCCAGCAATACAACTTATATGGGTGTCCGAAAACGGGATATGTCACCTCTAAAATCACAAGTGTAATAGAGATAATCCAAGAAGCCTTCATTTTGGGTTTTCCATACAGAGGTATCTAATTTTAACAGGGATGGGCATGGGATTATAATTTTGGCAAGTTATTCTCCTGCGTAATGTCAACATAAAAAAAAAACAAAAACATCCTGGTCGTTTCATTGGGTACCACTTTAGTAGCATCACGCTTTCAGACGTACCATCTGGTTATGACTAACAGTTCGCCATGGAAAGATCCACCATTTTTAAGAGCGGTAAACCATCTATAAATTGGTAATTTCCCATGGCTATGTTAAATAACGAGAGGGTAACACCCAAAGTACTGAACCAGGTTTATTTTGCCACGATTTACATGAACATGATAGAGAAAATGTCGTCCCAGGGATGTTGAAACACGGGATTTTTACTTTCAGGAGGGGGTTAGATCAAGTCAGTCGAAAGCCAGGCCAAGGCCAACTTGAGATACTCTGCGAAATGGCGAAATATAGGGATTTTATGTAATTTTCAATGCTCCGAAGAACAACAGCTATGAAATGTGGAATGGTGCTCCATCCGTGGCTCAGCAATTCAATAAACCTCCCGTTCACCGAAGATCACTCAGCGCCAGAAATCCCATCACCGAAGCTACCTCAAGAAGCTAATATGGCAACCCAAAATGAGATTTATGATTTATATATGTACCATGTGCTATCAAACCCATACTATAGTATAAAGGATATTATAATAAAGGCCCGCAATTCCCCTCAACCAATGTGCTGCTTGAAACTTATGCCTCTAGGAGTTGATCAATCCAGGCTTTGCATTTTCGCACAAATCCAGGACAGTGGCCAGAGGGACTGCGGCCAACAACTGGCCCTTGGGCAAAACCACTCGAAGGTTCTGAAGGTTCACATTCAGTTCATTTGCAATTCGCTTGTGAATCTCCCAAGCCAAATCAGATGGCCGCGCGTCTATGCGCAACACTTCTTGTCCGGTCAAAGCTGAGCATATCACGGCGAAGGAACCATCTTCAAAAACAAACTCCAGCTGCAAAACCAGATCTACAGGTTGGAACATTTCATTGCGAATGTACTGAATCCCTGAAGGACAGGACGGAATTTGACATTGTCCCTCACGATTCTTTCCACAAGCCACAGCACGACCATCGCTTCGGAGAAGCACCGTGTGTTCGTAACCTGCCGAGACTTCGATGTAGAAGATTCCATCATCCAAAGGTGGAATGTCACATTGTCCCTGCACAAAGCCTCCACAAGCCACAGCCCTGCCATCACTCCGAAGAAGAACAGTGTGACAGTTACCTGCAGAAACTTGGATGTATGACTGTCCTGCAGCTAAAGGTGGTATGCAGCATCGTTGATCGGGATTTCTTCCACAAGCAACAGCACAACCATCACTTCTGAGAAGCACTGTGTGAGTGACACCTGCAGCAACCTGGATGTATGACATACCATCATCCAACTGTGGGATGTTGCACTGTCTGCCACTGCTCATTCCACAAGCCACGGCAGTGCCATCACTTCGGAGAAGCACTGTATGAAAAAATCCCGCAGAGACTTGGGTGTAGACAATTCCTTCGTCCAGAAGCGGAATGTCACATTGTCCTGCTTCATTTGCTCCGCAAACCACAACTTTGCCGTCGCTCCGAAGAAGAACAGTGTGACAGGCACCTGCAGAAACCTGGGTGTATGATACTTCTTCACCCAAAGGTGGAATGATACATCGTCCGTCGGACTTGTTTCCAGTAGCAACAGCACAACCATCACTTCGGAGAAGCACTGTGTGTTCATGACATGCCGAAACTTGAATGTAGGACATTCCCTCATCCAAAGGCGGAATTTCGCACTGTCTGAAGTCATTCAACACACAAGCTACAGCTTTGCCATCACTTTGGAGAAACACTGTATGTTCGCTGCCTGCAGAGACCATTGCACAAATTGGGAGACCAAGCGAACAACGAGTCAAGTGTTTGGCGAAGAGATTTACTCATACATTCCAATGTGTCCCCTTCTGGGCTGGCTAAACAAAACAACAAACTATCCAGGTTCAGCAGTCATGACCTATGACCTAAATGCAATTGGTTTTGTCACCTGCACTTGGTAAATACACATAGAACCATAAATAGCAGCGGCTTGTTCAACACGTCTGGTGTGGTGATGATAAAAACCACCAAATGTTGACGCGACACCCAACAGCCTTGTTGAACTTCTGGTTTGATTCCGTTTCAGACTAAATCACACATGTAATTACTTAAGTAACATTTCTCTTCCTATGCAATTTTCTTGGTGTATTGGGTTGCCATACTGAGCCATACTGCACACCTCAAAGCACAATTCGCCCGGAAAGGTTCCCACAACGTGTTGTTCCAGGACAATCCCACAGCGTACCGATGACTTGGTTGACTTGGTTCATCGGATTGAGGACAATTTCAAGGTACCCAATGAATAAACATAATACCTCTGGTAATTTGTTACATAGCTATTGAAAATGGTCCATTTATAGTTGATTTACCCATTAAAATGGGTGGATTTTTCCAGTTCGCTATGTTAAAATACCAGAGGGTAAATATAACGAACATGGTAAACAAAATAAACACAAACCACATAAAAGCAAAATTACTTTACTTCGTGTGATCCCCACCATGACATTTATACATTTTCTTACTGGCAAATCTTCTGGAATTCTAGCTGACATATCTTCTGACATTCTATATGACATTCTATCTGGCATATCTTCTGGCATATGATCTGGCATATCTTCTGGCATATCTTCTGGCATTCTATCTGGCAAATCTTCTGGCATTCTATCTGGCATATCTTCTGGCACTCTATCTGACATATCTTCTGGCATTCAATCTGGCATTCTATCTGGCAAATCTTCTGGCATTCTATCTGGCATTCTATCTGGCATATCTTCTGGCATATTATCTGGCATATCTTCTGGCATATATTCTGACATATCTTCTGGCATTCTATCTGACATATCTTCTGGGATATATTCTGACATATCTTCTGGCATATCTTCTGGCATATCTTCTGGCATATCTTCTGACATATCTATCTGGCATATCTTCTGGCATATTTTCTGGCATTCTATCTGACAAATCTTCTGGCATTCTATCTGGCACATCTTCTGGCATATTATCTGGCATTCTATCTGGCATATCTTCTGGCATATATTCTGACATATCTTCTGGCATTCTATCTGGCATTCTATTTGGCATTCTATCTGGCATATCTTCTGTCATATCTTCTGACATTCTTTCTGACATTCTTTCTAACTTTCTTCTGCACATTCTTTGTCCCATATCTTCCTACATGAGGTCCGGCAGGGAACACTTGGCGTGGATTCTCGCGGTTGAGGTCCGGCAGGGAACACTGGGCGTGGATGGTCGTGGTTGAGGTCCGGCAGGGAACACTGGGCGAGGATGGTCGTGGTTGAGGTCCGGCAGGGAACATTGGGCGTGGATGGTCGTGGTTGAGGTCCGGCAGGGAACACTGGGCGTGGATGGTCGTGGTTGAGGTCCGGCAGGGAACACTGGGCGTGGGTGGTCGTGGTTGAGGTCCGGCAGAGAACACTGTGGATCGCGGGTCGCAGTTGAGCCAGGACGACGAGGACGACGAGGACGACAAGGACGACAAGGATGACAAGGAGGACGAGGAGGAGGAGAGGAGGAGGAGGAGGAGGAGGAGGAGGAGGCAACTGACATAAAATCTAACAACCCTCACCTGGCAGGTGGGGAAACACAATAAACGTGATAAACATAATAAACAATACCTGCAGTAGTGACATTGAAACGACCATCCCTGGCACGGTCAGTGACGATGTTCGATGCCAAGCTGCTCATGTGGTTCATGACCACATCAACAATGACCTTTCTGCAGCGGTCTGAGAGTATCACTAGTGGACTATGCCAGGAAAAGAAACGACTACCCTCTGGAAATTTGTTACATAGCCCTTGAAAATGGGATATTTTAATGGTCAATAGTCAATTGTGGTTATCTGGTAAACTAACAATATAGCTATTGAACCTGGCCAGTTAGTTCGTTGACTTACCCACTAAACATGGTGATTTGTCCAGTTCGCTATGTAAACGTTTACCAGAGGGTAACCCAAACCAAAACAGATTAATTGCTTGACAATCCTGAGGCAAATCCGCCAACCAATGCACAAGTTCTTGCTTCATCTTTCGCAGCTGTTTGCAGTATCGATCTTGGGTTCATGAGACAATCCAGCATTTATTCAGCAGGAAAGCACAGATGGGATAGTCCATGAAAATCACATCGGATAAATGGATGCCTGACGCTATAAATTTTCCATGTTGAATTAGACATATATCCTCTCTCCCCAACTCCAAAATCACAGATTCATGCAAGGCAGTTGTTTGCCTGCTCTATTCAAAATTGGATAAATCACCATTCGCTAAAATCCGACCAACTGCATCTTTTGACACAAAATTGACCTCAGAGATTGGGTTGGTCACACACATTCCCCCGTTCCGGGTCTGACGGGTATATCCCAATTGTTGTCCCCATGTATGGTCATTTTTAGCTGTAAAATTAAGAACCAATGGATTTTGGGGCACCCTATTTTCAAACAATTCCACCTGCTTGCTTTTTCCGGTTTTACTTTACTGGCGGCTGCAATCACCATGTATCCCCCAGCTCCTATCATATCTTTCTATATAATGGTTCAGTATGGGTCAAACACATTCTCCACCAAATCACCCTCCATTCCATCCCATGTCCCCCTTCCATCGAACGACCAAACCATCCAACCATTATTTTGCATGATATCAACTTGATATTCCAAACTATATCTACATATAATTTTGTGCATCTACAGTGAGATTCATGTGTCATTTCATACCAAGAAAGAGTCATTTTCACACATCTCACGGGGGCTTCCATAAATGGTGGTACCCCAAAATGGATCAAAATGGATTGTTTATAATGGAAAATTCCTCTATAAATGGATGATAACTGGGGGTACCTCCATTTTAGGAAACCTCCATATCCCATATGCTACATGTATAGAAGATTTACCAACATTGGCCCTAAAAATCACCCAATTTTGTGGGTACATATAACAGCACCATGGAGCATATGGGTATAATCCCTCTGAAAAAACATGAATTCGTCACTTGGGATGATGAAATTCCCAACTGAATGGAAAGTCATAAAATTCATGTTCCAAACCACCAACCAGTTGTAAACATCATGAACATGATAAAATGGATGATAACTGGTAGCTCCATTTTAGGAAAGCTACATATGTTTTCAGTTACCCCCTGGTTATTTAACATAGCCATGGAAAATCACCATTTTTGATAGGTAAACCATCTATAAATGGGCTATTTTCCATGGCTATGTTAAAAAACCAGAGGGTACCAGCCACATCTCTTCCCTCGTCGATCACTCAGCTCGGCACGTAGAGCCCCAGCTGATGCGCTCGCTCCGTGAGTTGCCGCAGCTCCGCTTTGCTGCCCAGCCGTTGGTCCAGCAACGTGAAGTCCAACCTACCGTTGCGTTGCGTTTCGGCGCCGGGGAGGTTGAAGTTTGAACCAACTCTTGTAGTGAATATGTACCTCCCCAGTTAATATATATATATATATATATTGATATTGGAGTGATCTTCTTTTTTCATAAGTACAATCGATACTTTTAAGTTCATATTGTATGAATTTTCACTGTATATTTAATGAGTACACAACAAAAACAATGTTAATACACTACATACATAATCATATATAAGATATAACTAGTGTGTGTGTACATATATATAGAATACAACATAAGGTTCAATGCGTATATCTATTTTTGTGAATAATATGAAGTGTATGAAATTTAATCTATGTATTAAACGAACAAATGTCAGATCATATACAAATATCTATATATATATAATTTATATATATAATGTTCCCCTACTTCATGCTTGTTTTGAGAGAAAACCTCATGACACATCTGCACCCAAATGTTGAATGGATGGCGGCTCGGGGGATGGCGGCTCGGGGGATTGCTCACTTGGATTTGTTCACTTTAGTTGGCTTCCCGGCTTCCTAATTCCCAAGCATGCTGCCAAAGTGGATGTCCCTTCTGGAATGGGAACTAACAAATCCTTTCGATGCACCCACTACCCTTTGCGATTGTAAGGATGTTTTGGTTCATTGCGGGCTTTGTTCCGGAGAATTGATGTATGATAAAGTATGCAATTGGTGGACTACACAATTAACCCCACGTGGAACATATCAAAACATACAGTATCCAGTACTAAATCCAAAAAACGAAATGTACTAAACATGTAGCAACATGTACTCTGGAACCATTTTTCAGGTTCCATGCTACAACATTTAGAAGGTGCAAAACTAAGCCAAGGGGCTGGGAGTACTGGTGGTAGGAATTGTATCCGTTCCTTGTTGCGGAGACTGCGTGCGAGTCATGACAAACCCTCATGTCCACCTCAAACCACCCCCATTTCTTAGTGGTTAATCATCATTTGGCGTCTGAAACTAGCCTCTGGTAAACTAACAGTTTGCTATTGAAAATGGCCATAGAAATAGTGAGTTTTCCCATGAAAAATTGTGATTTTCCATAGCAAAATGTGAGTTTACCAGAGGGTAGCCTCTAAAATCATGGCATTTTATGATGGGACACCGTTTGCACCACGAGATTGTGAGAGTTCTCAACGCCGCAAATTGGGGGACACATTTTTGACTCGGCCGTAAACCACGTGGAGTCCATGGAGTCGTTCAAAACCTGGGATTTAAATCTTTACTTTTCCCATTAGAGATATAGGAAATTAAAATGAATCCCATTAAAACCATTAACTTTCACCATTTCAGGTATTTACCTTAAAGATATAGGATATTCCCAAGCCTGGCGCTCAAACCATTCATTCCCACAGTTTTTTCTCAGCGAAACCGGGCTGTCAGTAGTAGGGCTGGGACGAATGAAGTCTATGCAACACAACTCTACTGCAAAACTGAGCTATGGTGATTTATGGGGATTTAACGATTTAACCAACAAGGGAAAAAAACCTCCGGTAAATTCCGGTAGTTTCACATAGCTGTGGAAAATGGCTATGTAGAGCAAGTATTTTTACCTATGAGCAACATAGTTTTTGGTAAATTACCAAGAGAGTCATATAGGGAATTACAATGCACAAATTTTCCCAGCACACATATTCTTATTGGCTGTGGTTTTCCAGTATCCCTTCTGTAAAGACAACCACATGCTGTAAGCCGCTGATTGCCGCTGCAAAACATCATATATGATGGAAACCACGAATTGGCTGGGAAAAACGAAAGGTCCTAAACTTCAAACACCACATCTTCTAGGCCCCACCTTAGTTTGAAGGGTCGCTCGACTTTCTTAGTGGTAATTGCTAAGCTGCTAACCCACAATTTCACCATGTATCACCATCCACAACTTCGTGTTCGACCACTCTGAGTTTTATGCGCCCAAGCGGCTGAAAAACTGGCGAGATCCAAATGCCACGACATCCTAAGCCCTTGATGTAGGGGAGCCTCTCCGTCCTCGGGTGCCCAACGGCGGAGCGGCCAGAGAAGCTCTAACTCTGGTATACCAAATCCCATTCAGGTCCCCATAAAATAGCAATCATCCTCGACTCATCCCCCGATGGTATTGCATGAAATCCTACTTTTGCTTCTTAGAATGTGCATTGGTCAAGTCAATCCCCTTGTTTGATTGAACTCTCAGTTAGTTTATACTATAAAATCCAGTATCGGCCCAAGTCCTACCAGTGGTACACAGTGACAGCAGATGCTTGGGAATTGATTTCGCCATGTCGTTTCGTCTCATTCTGAACTGGCTCAGCAACAAGTTGCTGGTGGATGTATGGCCTTTCTTGGTTGAGATGATGGCTGTGACAACTGACGGATCTCTACTTTGGCAGACGCCTGCTTATGACGGCGAGGACGCCGCTTGCATTCAGCGGTCCTTATCATTGCACTTCTTGCAAGCCATTTCGATCATGTGGCTTATATCTGTCACACATGCTTTTGATGACCAATTTGAGGACAAGACTATGACAACGCATGCTTCTGTTTCATCCCTGACTGTGATGGCGCTCTGCGTGGAAGGGCACGTGCTTGCCCTTGCATGAATATCATTCAACTTGTGTCTGCCCGAATCAGATTGGGTAACTTTGATTGGATTAGTAGCCATTTGCAGTTCTGCTGCATGCGCTGGACAGGAAGGAGTCAGGAGGCAAACTGGGCTGACTCCGCACAAGCACCATCAGGTGCCAGTGGGACAGCAATAGAGGACAAACGTACCGCTTGGGTGAGCTAACGGCCTGCAACACTTGAGCCTTGAGGCGGCAACCGGCAGCCGATTTCCTCACCCCGTAAATTATTTTCCTTGTGAGTTGCCCGGCGGAAACAAACTCCCCGTGCCTTGTTTTAATTTGTTTGTGGCCTACGTTGGCCCTGCCGGCCGTTGATGTTTTCCAGTAGATGCAAGGAAGTCGGCAGCCGACAACCTCTGACGACTGCCTTCTCTCAGTTGTGCTTTGCTGTGTCGAACCCTGTTCACCATGAGCAGGTGTACTCTGTTGGACACACGAGCCTGCGCTGCAGCTGGCCCTGTGCTTGTGAGACCGTGTGTGATATACAATAAAATCAAACTTTTAGCGTAGAATCACATAGAATCACCGTCTTCAATAATCTTCAATGATTTTATCCCAATTGTTAATGATGAAATCTGCATTTTCAGTGGTTAAGTCCTATTTTTAGTGGTTCAATCCCAGTCCCATTGCAAAGGGTCAAATCCCAATGTTTTCAGGTGAGGTCCCCATTTTCCACAGGCATTTTCTATCCCCAGCAAGGCACACGCCAACGAAATCGCCGCCGTGGCGGTAGGTCATGTCGCGCACGTCGAAGCCCGAGGCGAAGAGCTCGTTGTTGCGCGGGTCACCATCCGCGAAGCGGTCCGTGATTAGCCTCAGGCTGTCAAGGGGGAAGAACATGGAAGAACTGGTCCAATCATGGGACTATCAATGGGAGGCGGGATGGGGGAGAAAATGATAAATTCTAGGCTTAGATGGTTTAATGGCACTATCAATGAGAAAATTACATGAAAAAAATGATTTAGATGGTTTCATGGGCCAAGCAACTGGGAAAATCTAAAATTAGATGGTTTGATGGGACTATAAATGGAAACATCTATACCTAAATTGTTTTTTTGATAAACCATTGGGATTTTATGGGTCTCCCAACGCTCCAGATACAAGAAGGGTTAAATGGCAGTGAAGGAGGCAAAAATGTGGTAAAATGACACACTTCCTCCCCTTGTGGCTATAAATCCACTTCTAATGGGCTGGAGCAGCCCTGAATAATGGAACTATAGATGGGAAAATCGTTTCCTGGTTCAATCATCAAATATTGGGATTTTGCAATTTTACAAATGAATTTGATGGTTTGATGGGGATGTGTATATATATATATATAGATAGCTAGGACTATGATGGTGATATAATGGACATATTGATAATGGATTGTGTATTATTTATATATATATATATATGTCTATATATATATGTCTATATATATATTCATACATAGATACAACAGTGCGATAGTGGGTGTTTCTGAATATACCATGCAATTTTCTTGTTGTTCCAAAAATAGGCGGATGGGATTTTGAGATATTTATGGTAAACCAGTGGATTAAAAAACATGTCTACCTGATTTATGATTCAAGAATATCAAACCAGTTACAACTTTTTTCAGACCATCCCACGGATTGTAACTGCAGAGTGTTTGTGAGGGATCTTGCTGTCCAATGGGATAACCCATATAGGGAGCTTCTTTCTTGGTAACTTCTTTAGGATTCTCACCATTGAAATGGATAGTTTAAACGTTCTCACCAAGAAAAGCCTGGTGATGTTCACCAACAAAAGAATTTTCTTCGTTGAGCCAAACAGGAATCTCAATCAAATTAGATACGAAGATGTTTCCACCATTTTATGAGGATCCAATAGGATACCATGGGGATCTAATCATGATTTCACCATGGACATGGAAGATATACCCGAGGAGTAAGTGGATTTCCTGCTGCGCTGTACCACCAAGCCACCACCTCCATCACCTCCATCATCACCACATCCCCATCCCCCAACCCCTTGAATCCCTTCGTTTGATGGTATATTGACCCATCTGTTTGGGTAAATTACAACAGTTCTCAAACAAGAAATACACCACATTTGGGATTATTGCCACTATCAACCACCAATCATGGTGACCCCGGCCAAAAAAAAACAACTTCACATGGACCAATACCCTAGTTTATTGCGCGTTTAATCGTCCAATTTTCCCATATTTGTGGGTTGAATTACAATTTTTCATGGTCCATGGCCCCACATATCCCCACTCTTTGTTGTTTGCCGCGCTTCAAAAAGCCGCAACAAATCTGCGCTTCACTAGGCCGCCCATCGACAACGCGCCAAGGAGCTGGTAGATGGATAAGCTGCGCCAATCTTGGGGCGATGGGAAGTAGCTATGATTTGCCCAAGCGCCTGGCTATTGGTGGCTTCACTATGGCTCAATGCTCAATATGGGGTTTTCCATAAATGGGGACACCACAAAAATGCAGGGTCGATAAGGGAAATCCTCCTAAAATGGATGGTTGATGGGTAATGTCTCTGTTTGGGGTCTGAAAATTGGGCATACCTTCTGGTAATTTGTAACAGACAGAGATATGGAAAATTGCACATTTAGTTCGGATTCGTTGATTTTGCTAGTAAACATTGCGATATTCCCCCAGCTATGTTAGTTTACCAGAGTGTACAGCCTCAATTTTATGACCATTTCATAGGCAAGATGATGATTGACACCTGCAGGGATGCATATCCCATGGCCGTAAGCAATTTAAGGGCAAATTCCAATGGTCATGAGTGGAGAATCACCCACTATCTTTGTATGGTGTATGGGCTGTATGGGTAGATATATATATATATATACATACAGGTTTAGGCAGGACTGTTGGACGCGGCTCGAACATTTCCATACAATGGGGATGTTCAAAAAATGAATGGGATTCATGGGATTCTATCATATTTTATCCCTATTAAACTCCATATTCTTTTCCCTATTAAACTCCTATTAAACTCCATTATTCTTGATGATTTCCCATACTAGGGCTGTTTAATATGAACAGGGGACGGGATTCTGCTATGCTTCCCATTTGCGAAGCCTTTTTCAACCGCCGAAACTCCCAACCTCGGTACTTTTCAGGCTCATGTCGTTCCTCCAAGTTCACGTTCCAACCTCAAGAGGACGCTGGATTTTAGGAAAGGACTTCGGCTCCGGGTTTTCGGGCTGGAGAACATGGCTGGAGATGGGGTATTATATATATATGTGGAAAGATCCACCATGTTTAATGGGTAAATCAACTATTTCTATGGGAAAATTCAATAGATAGTTAATGGAATACTCTCTGGTTATGACTGACATAGCCATGGTATAGATGGCCCATTTATAGATGGTTTACCTAGTTATAAAATGGTGATTTGTCATGGCTATGTTGAATAACCAGAGGGTAATATGATAAATTAGCATATTATAATGCAGTATGATACACGAATAATACAGCTAAAAATTAAAATATTTTAAAATAACAATAAACAGAATATAGTGCTATATAATATGACATGATACATAGGATTATACTAGAATAGAATACTAGGAAACACAATACCATAACATATAATACAAAGTAATTATTGTATAATAGAATATCGTTGTAATACAGTACCATATAATATAGTTGTGGAATATTGTTGGTTTACACACCAATTCAAGTGTGGTCATTTCATGACATATCCATCATAAAACCTAGGTAGTACATGCTGGGGTTAGCCAACATATTTTGGACGCCCCATACCGGGACAGCAGGCGCAAGCTGGGTAAAATCCACTGGTTCGTCATCAGTTTCCCCATGAAAACATGGAACAACCATTGGTGCGTTTTCGACATTTCGAGACACAGCCATGTTCCAAATGATCTGATAAACAAGTAAAATGATGAACATTCAAACGGCTGTTATCATTTATCAGTTTTGGCTTGGAGAAACCCTGTTTGGGGGTGCGGAAAGGTAGCTGATGATGGCTTTGTCTGCGCTCCAAACATGATTTGTAGTTGAGCCAGCCATCAATCCACTGTTGGTCCATTTGAATCTTTTGACCAAAAAAAGGATGAAAATTCATAGAACTTTCAATCCACCAAACAAAATTTGATAGGACTTGTATATATAATATATACAATATAATATAATACAATATAATACAATACAATGCAATACAGTATAATACAATGTAATATAATATAATATAATACCATATAGTATAATATAATATAATTTAATATAATATACCATAATGTAATTTAATATAATATTCTTTTTGTATAATGTAATATAATATGATTTAATATGAAATAATATTAAACCATATACAATGTTGATATTCTGATTAATTATGTACCCTATACAATTGAGAGCAGTCATGGATCGTTTTTTTTTTCCAGCTCTACGCCTGGTCTGCAGCCTTTTCTCCACATGCTGAATTTGCGCATGCTCAGCTTAGGCTTGCAAGAACAGTCATAATAAGTGTTAATAGTTAATAGTGTTTGATAGGTCTTAATATGTCTTAATGATGCTTGTAGAAGAACGATGACAACCACCATGATTCATCACTATGACAACACCATGAGAACCACTATGACAATCACAATGACAACCAGTATTTTTACAGCTGTTGATTGTGACGCATGGTTCACAAAAGAAAGCGATCGAATCTCAGCTCAAGTTGATGTGCAGCTTCTGACCTGGCTACGTGGATTCAGTGCAAGAAAACAGGCTGAGGAAGGGCTCTGGTTTGCTGAGACCCCCGAGTTGTGAATGGTGGGTTTCTTCAAACTCTTGGTTGTAATATTTGTTGAATGTCGGGTTTTTACACATATTTTGTTATAAACACTGTTAGAATTACAAATTTGGTTTGTATAACACCGTACTAAATATGAATATATATATATATCTTGATATCATCCTGATCTGACAATAATTGAAATTACAACCAACCAAAACACTGTTCCTGTTGCCTGACATATTTTGATACATGTTGATACATTTTGCTGAAAGTCCCATCTCTTAGTCGCGACACGACAAGTCATTACCCATAACCTGCTGTAGATTTGCAAGTTATCATAAGCCTTCAGTTCAATCATGTTCAATCTCCCAACACTGCTGCTGTTGTTGTTGTTGTTGTTGTCGTTGTTGTGGTGGTTGACTTTCATCTTGGATTTCATGTATATACGGCAAGTTATTGGTACAGTATTGATTCAGAAACAGACAGTAGGTGGCATGTTCCAAATCACCACGGTCCGGTCAATTGAGACCATGTCACCTTCAAAAGAAAACTCAGCCGAGTTGCAATAGAGTTTCTCCTTGGATTTCGGAAGGGAAAGCATTTGACCCTCAAGATAGCTGTGTCATGCTGTGTCTATAAATGAGGTATACCACCCCGGGCCAATTTTCAAACGACACGATTGATTGATGACTAGATCTTTGGCTACGGACAAAGATGTTCTTTTTATTATTATTTTTGTTGTGCTGTCAACCCATTTGGTGTCAGAGCAGACAGGTTAGTTGGTTAGCCTGTTGAAATCTGTGGTCCAGCTTGCTGAGAACTCGGGGGGGAATCCTCCAAGTTGTGCTTTTCGCCAAGTTGTGCTCCCATCGGACAGCGGAAACTTCAGGAAACTCATCCAACGCGCAACTTGGAAATTGGAAACTCTACATTGCAAATTGGGACTTGTCAATTAAAACGTTGGGCTGGCAGCGATTTTGTCGCAGTACTTTGTGTTGGCAAAGCCCAAGATACATATAGTATGATGAATAATTGTGGATCTCCAACTACAGTTATGGCCATTTACCAGTTATAACTGGTTATAAATGGGATTATACATTCTATAAATGGGGTTATAAGTACTTATAACTGATAAATGGCCATAACTGTACACACCTTTTGGTCATCTGTTACATATCCAACTCCTTGCTGCCTTCCAACAGGATTCCTATAGACTTCACATTGCGAAAAACGACAGCCAAAAAATCTGACAATTCCTCAGTTTATCACCGTTTTCCCATATTTCCCCCATCAAAGCTGCAATTTTACGGGTATCACCATTTTCGATACGCACATTCAAACCCTTCCCACAAATCCCAGTCCATTAGGCTCCTAGGATACCAGATCGGGTCGAGTCCATTTTGCTTGAGTAAAAAAACGTGTGTTCTTTTAATCGTTGATTTCAATATGTTTCAATCATGTGAATCATGTGTTTATATTTTTCTTTTGTGTTATGAAAAACAATCTTCAGAGTTAGTTAGACCATGTTAGACCAATCGTTTTATGGTAAAATAACTTGTTTGATCACTAAACTACATCGGTATCGAGGCCATCAAGGTAGCCGACGGCCAAGTATCTGCTCGATCAGCAAGGGAACCATTCACGATTGAGAAATTCCAGCGGTTATGCCAATGATATCCGAACGCAGTGTGCCTTGGCGTGCAGAATTTGGAAAATAGCATGGTTAATAGTGGTTAATTAATAGCATATTAATAGCTATGATGGAATGGATGGTTATGATACCATGGTTAATATTGGGAAGTACCAAGGTTCATCCCCATTTCATACCATTTTCTTCAATAGCTATGTTCAATAGCCCTCCTCAGCGCTGATACGGACATGCCATGGTTGATAATGGCTTAGGATGATTAATAGTTGAAATCAATGATAAAAGAACTGCCCTTCGGTAATTTGTTACATAGCTATTGAACATGGCCCATTTGGTTTGTTGAGTTATGTTGACTTACTCACTAAAGTGGTGATTTCCCACAACTATGTTGCTATGTTTTACCAAAAGGTATAACTAATATAACTAATGTGATACACCCGAGAAAATAAAAATCATCTGCAATAGATTCGTTTATTATTGGGTATATCATCCGTATTTGGGATAGTGTAACATGACAGCCGAATGGTTGTTAAATGGGTCGGTTTACTATTGGTTTTATCAAACTTACCATCTGGTTATGACTAACATAGCCATGATTTATAGATGATTTTCCCAGCTAGGAACCTCCATTTATGGTTGGGATTTTCCATGGCTATGTTAAATAACCAGATGGTAGAGTTTATGCTGGATGTACTGATCCATCGCGGAAAAAACACATCCAACAGAACTGGCGGGCACATGGCTATGGGTCACATAAAACCCTGGTACCCTGGCCGGGTGCACCCCTAAATACTGTAGTTGGTCGTTATTGATGTTCATCCCCTCATATCATAGCTGCAGCTTAATCATCCCCAGTTTGGTGTATAAGTTCAATTATCTTTTATGTTCAAAGAGTTGAAGAAACCATTGAATTGATTTCCAATTTTATTTGAGGCATAAGCTTGGCGATGTACAATTCACCACGTATTTTAGCGATAGAAAGCATGCGGGAATTCCTCTTCAATTGCCACGAACAACCGGTATTCCAAAAAAGAGGGAATTAACCACAAAACAGTGCAGTTTTAGTGGGGATGTGTATATATATATATATATATTAAACATAATTGAACATGTTACATTTGCACATAACTATATGTATACATTCAATTACATTCAGAGTGGTTCTTTTTTGAGGTTTGTTTACTCTTAGATCAGCCGCAAGATTTGAGACCACCACCTTGCCACCAACCACTGCAGATGCAGTGTTTTCCAAGTCGCTATACACTACACACGATTTATCTTCACTCCAAGAGTCTGAATGATCCAATTGTGCCTTCTTGTTAGAGGCTGTCAGCTGACACTTCTTCAATGACATGCCATCCATGTCAAGAAAACAAAATACATGTTTTGCGCAGTCAGCAATATACATATTACATACATGCATCCATACATTACCTTACATCACATTACATTGCGTTGCGTTACGTTACACTACAGTACATTGCATTACATACCATATACATATACACTCCCTTTGAATCCAAACAGGTACTTCCTGAAGGTACTTGAGCCCTGAATCGTAAAAAAACAAAATCCTCAAAAGGTACTTGGATCCATGCACCGAGTTAAGGCTATTTTCACTCCAAAATGTCCAGTGAACCACCCGCAAACTACCAGTGAACCAAGACAAATGCCCCTATCATCTCTTATCCCATCCAATTATGCTGGTTGGTGAGTAAATAGTTCTCCTACTCATTTTGTAATCCCCAGTAAAACAAGTTCGAATAATCTCCATTTCATTCCCACTCATCACTCAACAAGGATTTTGTCACTTGAAAAAGGCTCTCCGGGGCCTCGAGGCCCGCAGAAACGATACCAAGTGGCCCTGTAAAGCTCGGGTCGACATAGTTCAGGTGTTTCACGTCTTGAAGTAAGGTCATGTCCAAATTTTGGATGAAGAAATCATTCCAGAGCGTGGAATTCTCATCATCCTCCAAAAGGGCGGTTTCGCCCGGAAAGCCGCCCTCCTCAAAACAACAAAAAGACATATCTCGGAGCTGAGAGAGTTGTACCCGGGGGGCTTCGAAACACATACATATGCACTATACATGATGTGTATGTATACAATTATATACATACACGTAATCACATATATGTAACTATGACAGAACTATAATAAGTCACTGACCTGAAAATAGCCGAAATAAGGCCATCTGGGGTCATTATATTGACGTCACATTGAGATCATTGTAAACCATCCAGATATATGCACATGTCGTATGTATATATATATGTGTGTGTGTATGTATATAGATATATATACAATATTACAGTATGTTGTGGTTTAAGTATATGTGAACATGACAAACCTCCAAATAACAACAGCTATCCGAGGTTTTGTGTCAGACGCGCCTATGACTAAAACAAGATGGGGATAGCCCGACATGGGGGACAGAGGGGTTGCATGCGTATCCCCCGAATCATATGAACGCAAGTAAGCAACAAGGGTGTTGGACAACACACTAAAATAACAGTAATTCAATGTAATTGATACGGCACTCATGGGGTACCCACTAAAATCTATTGTTTTGTGAAAATAGGAAGCAAAATCGAGACACAATTGGCCAACAATGGGCGAAGATAGCCGGCATCACATACACCGGACAACATGATTGCACAGGAGTCAGTGACTAGCAATGTATGTGGAGGTATCTACGATGTATCGTAGTTTTTGGGGTACCCAAAAATGGATGGAGTTTATGATGGTGAAATGCCCATTGTTCATAGGAAACCTCCATGGTTCATGGGGGATCATGCGATGTTTGCGGCTGCCAAAATGATCAGGAATTTCTACGAATTTCTGGTATACCATGCTATAGACACAGCCTGAAATCATGTTCTTTGCACATGTTTGCCAACTATACATCCCAGTATATTGCAGTATACACCAATTTTTAGTGGTTAACATCCTCTATGAGCCATTGAGTTTAACAGCACCAACATAGTTCAGTACCAGCTGCACAACTAGATCAAGGTACGCCACGATAATGGGTCCATGCAGAAAACACCCGTAGAGATGGCCATGGCTCAAGAAGCCTATCCAGTTTTTTGACGACTAATATTTGAGGCATGGGCAAATGGACATGCTACTATATCATCTATCCGTGTAGAAAATGGTTTCTGCTTTCTGACCACAGAAGTGTGGAGTTGCCAATGACTTTCGGGTAAGGTTGACCACTGAGGTGGTGGAAGCAACGTAAAAATACCGCACCACCATTCTGCAGGCTGGTGTCCCAGGGAGCTAAATCGTTAAGTTGTTTTTTGCAACTACTATGACCAGGGTTTATGGTAATGAAATGCCCCGTAGCCAAGTCAAAAAAACAGGACTCTAGTTTTGACATGTTTTCATACCAGAAAATCTAGAGTCATCATCCCAGACATGTAGGAGGGGTTCTGTCATCGATGTTTTTCATGGAGGTTCCAACCATCATCATCCCAGAGTCGAAAAAACACCGTGGCAAGATGTGAAAGGTGCGATTGGCCACGTGCTTCTCCATCTCCTTGCAGGATCAACGTCCAGGTGACATCACAGCGACGATGCTCAAATGGGGGGGGTACCCTAAAAACCATGGGGGTCAAAACTGAAGATATAAGATATTGTATATAATTCAATTATTATATATATATAATATATATATATATATAATACATATGTGTGTATCTATCTGGGTGAATTATAATCATTCACTAGCCTGAAATAAGGCAATTTTGGATGATTCCGCTTTTTCACCATGATTCCAGTGAGGTCGCAGTGAGGTCGTTATAATTTGCCCAGATCTATGTGTGTATTTATATATATATATATACACAGGCACATTTTGGATGTTTTGGGGGCATCCCTTTTCCTTTGGGAAACGTTTTGGCTTGAAGGATTCAGATGTTGTATCATGTTGTATCTGTGGGTCGACGATGCTCAAAGAATATCCTGGTTGGTGGTTTCAACACCTCTGAAAAATATGAAAGTCAGTTAGGGTTATTATTCCCAATATATGGAAAAACCAAAATTGTTCCAAACCACCAACCAGGATCTGGAGTCAGCAAATAGTTGCTGAGAGGGGTGCAACATCTCCAAGATCTTCAATAAAATACCAGCGTCTCAAAAAACAACTGTAGAACAACTCCGGAATCTCACGGTTATGATTATCATAAACCAACCTGGAAGCTGGAATAATTTTGGGGTTTTGTCGAAGTGTGGATCATATTTCATATATTTCCAACCCTTGGGGTTATCATAAAATAGGCCAACCTTGAGATTAGCTGGCAGCCAGCCCCATGTTGGGATAGTTGGCAGCTGACCTCGCATCAATCCGCCGACCTCGCACCGTTTTTGGACAAGCTTGCGCCATGCATCGTCCAAGTTGAGTGGATGTTGCCACAACATGCCACAATGACACAACGATATCTGGATTTACGAAAAGTGGGAATGTCACCAACTCAAACACAGGGATACAACGTATTCCTAAGCAATACCCTCTGGTAAACTAACATAACTATGGAAAGTCATCATTTTTAATGGGAAAACTCACTATACATGGCAATATTCAATAGCTATGTTGAAGTACCAGAGGGTAGATTGGCAATAGACAAGATCAAAAATTGGATGCTATCAGCCACCAGGCCTGTTTCACCAACAAGTCTGAACTGGTCGGACGTTTTTTTTTTCACCACGGCCACTGGTTTCTTGACCCCATCCAAGCCGGGGAAAATGTTCATCCATTGGTACAACAAATGCAGTGAGGGGTTATTTATCCTTGCCGTTACCGGGTATCAGCATCTAATCTATGGATATCTATGGAGCCTATGCCATTGATCCATTGCATAAGAGAACTGATGCCGAGAGTTCCCAGCATCAACATGCTCGTGTTGGCGCACACCAGATCGGCATCGCCGGTGACACTCCGGCAGTTCGGTTCATGGAGGGTACATATATTTTCGGGTTGTCAAGTGCTGTTTTAAGACATCAAGCATCTTTGATATGTGATTGAAACCTCATTTTCTCAACATGGTCGCCGTGAAGCTAAATACCTCATCCTATTGTTTCCTATTCCATCCCATTCACCCAGGTGGTCATGTTTTCTACAAAAAAACATGAAACAAACATGAACTAATGGGATATATATATATAGGGATTAATCATGATTAATCCACTTTAAAGGGAACTAATCTACTTTAATCATGCTGAAATTCCTTTTTTTGTTCCCATGAACTAAATAAAACCGCCAGTTGTGCTGTCATCAAGAGTTGGGCATTTTTCTTAAGACACACTTGTAATCTTACGATGTTACTGCTGAGCGGCCCCAGTCTTATGCGAACATCCTGATCCAATCGCAGATCTTTTGGAATTCTTTTGTGTATAGCCAGAGTTTCGCTTTGCGAGTTCAACTTACGCAGGGAAAGAAAAGGACGAAATCTCTCTCTGTCTCTTTGCAGTTTTGGTTGCTCGGGTTTCCTCGTCGCCCCCAGCAGAGTGGGCACCGGAAGTGCGTGACGTGGAAATCGTGGACCCTCTGAACTTGGAGAGCTGCCATGGTGCCACCAGGTGTCTCTTGAAGAAACCCGCCAAAAAAGAGTTCTGAATGATAAGGAACTTACTGGATACCAGGGTTCTTTAAGGGTAACCACTATTTCACCAGTGGGTTATATTTTTGTTTTTAATACCACTATTTCAGTTATTTCAGTTATTAACTATTAACAGTTCTTTTCCAGAAATACCTTACGGATTTCTCTGAAAGATACCCCTCAACAAGGTTTTTTGGGTCGGTCCTTCGCCATCGGGGTGACCGTCCAAGGTCCATAGAAGCCCCATCGTTGCTGGATGCCCGCCTGGAAAATCGAATCATGGGGAAAATCCATGGGGAAAATCATGATAGATTATCTATATTTCATGGAAAAATCATGGGAAAATCCTGAAAATCATGGATTAATCTTCAATTTCTAGTTTCAAAAGATCAGAAACTCTCTGGTCATTTCAGGGACGTTGTGGCCCAGTTTCTTCGATGATTTGCCGTTTTTTTAAATTGTATTTTTTTCCATGGCTATGTTGGAGTGTTTGCCACATATGCGGTCATATGCGGGAGTTTCTTAAAAAGCGGGTGCCCCAATAGCTGGCTGGTTTACAATGGAATATAAACATGGATGATTTTTGGGGGTACCCCATGACTGAAGAAACCTATCTGGATGGTCGAAAGTCACCTGGCTTTGTTTCACCGCCGGTGCTCCGGATGAATCGCTTTGAATGGCTGGTACTTCTGGATGTTCACCCAAAATGAAGTTTTTGAAGTCTGCATCTGGCAACACTTTCGGATCATTCGGCACTGCCTACTTGATCTACTTGGGTTTCCAGGGTTCATGGCCTCTGGTACAGCAAAACACATGACTCAACCACAATTATGCCCCTGGGATGCGGGTCGACCAGTCAGGTCGCCATCCAAAATCCCATCAAAATGGCACTTACAAGATATTCTAACAAGGCCAGAAATCTGTAAAACCTCAATTTAAAGAATATGTTTGACACATATGGCATGATTCATGGCCAAATCAAACAATACAGTATGCATGGATGTAACATGATATTACCATTTTGAGCAAATTTCAAACAGTAATGGATGTGTGATGATTCAATACATGTTATCCCATCAGTGATCCCTATGCTTGATGAATCCCCAATGCCAATGGATGATCTATCGCAAACAGTATCTCCATTGACCACAACGTGCATGAGTCAAAATTGGCTACCCCAATCATTGGATACTACTACCAGTCGTACCGCACAAGGCGGTGGCGGAAGTTTCAAAAATAGGAAACCTATGGGAGAGGTTGATTGTTGTGAGTCACGGATGGCAGAGCGAAGCTACTGATGGACCGACAGGTGGTTGAGGTCTCCTCTCTTTCTCTCTCTTTCTTTCTCTTTCTCTGACTGTCTACCTACCTGCCTACCTATCTATCTATGTATCAATCTACCTATCGATCTCTCTCTCTCTCTCTCGCTCTCTCTCTCTCTCTCTCTCTCTCTGTCTGTCTATCTATCTATCGATCTATCTATCTAATCGAATCTACTCTGATCTAATCTAATACAGTCTATCTATCTATCTATCTACCTATCTATCCATCTGTCTATCTATCTATCTGTCTATCTAGATGTCTATCTATCTATCTATCTGTCTATCTATCTATCTATCTATCTGTCTATCTATCTAGCTAGATAGCTATCTATCTATCCATCCATCCATCCATCCATCTATCTCTCGGTCTGCCTGTCTGTCTATCTATCTACCTGTCTATCTGCAAGCTTGAAAACCTAGCTATTCTGCGAGACTTTTTCATTTTTCAAAATTGAAAACATCAAAAACGCAGCAATTCTGGGAGACTTCCTCATTTTTCAAAGTTGACAACATCAAACACGAAGCAGTTCTCCGAGACTTCCTCAATGTTTGCAGGTGACAACGTCAAAAACGAAGCAATTCAGCGAGACTTCCTCATTTTTCGAAGTTGACACAACATCAAAAACGAAGCAATTCTGCGAGACTTCTTCATTTTTTGAACTTGACAACATCCAAAACGAAGCAATTCTGCGAGACTTCTTCAATTTTTGAACTTGACATCAAAAACAAAGCAATTCTGCGAAACTTCCTTCAAAAATGGAAAGTTGCGTGCAGAGCTGACGGCCTCGTGCCAATGCGTTTTGCGATTTTTGCAGTCCACCTGTCGAAGTACTGCGCCTGCCAAGAAAAAGTGATGCCAGGTCATACGAAGTGCTGCACCTGTCACGCAAAATCATCTCAGCAAACCTGAAGATCTGATGCTCCAAAATGCAACCCATCTCAGGAAATCAGCGCCCTCACCTCCTAAAAGCTCCGCTGAAGATGTCTCTTGTAATGTCAAGTCAGGATTAATCAACATCCCGTTATTAATCAACCTCCTCCTCCCCCCAAAAAAATGTAATTTAAAAAAAGGTGGACCCCTGGATTAATAAACTTTTGGCATGGACATAATTAATCAACCCCCAGTGCTGAAATCTCATTGTTTTTATCCACATGTTTTTATTTCCAATTCTTATAGTTTCTGATGATGTCTCATCAATCTCAGAACTCATCATTTTATATTCCAACTCTCTTTAACACCAGAACCCATCACTGCTGATCATTGAAAAATAAAAAACAATTATTCTCCAAATGATCGATTTCTAATTAAATTCTTTATAAAAATCATCAGTTTGGATAGCTCCCAAAGGGTACCCCCCATGAGCCCATGTCCCCCATTAATAATAACCAGGGTTTGCCCCTTATTAATCAACACCCAATGCCCCTAATGTTTTTGTCTTTGGATTTGCCCATTCATTCCCAATGTCCCCCATAGCTTTCAGCCAATGGAATTCTATGATGAAGATCTAATTGACGTAAGCCATATCCAAATTTTTATGGTTCCGAGGTGCTTATTATTAAGGGGTGCTCTACAAGGTCCCATCTGACCTTCTGGGGGGGGGGTTATGAATCCGGTGTTGGCATTACTGCGCCTGCCACGGAAAATGCATCTTTGCAGATCCTCTTCAAATGTCCCACGCCTGCCATCGTTTTTAGAAATGCTACAAAAACCCTCACGTCTTGCTCACATTTGACAAGGTGCACAATCCCTTGCGCCTGCCATGCGAAACGAGATCTGAACGTCCAAAAGTGGTCCGTACATGGTGTGCTTTGAGCATTTTGGCTTCGAAATGTGCTTCGCTCCATAATGGCGTGCACTTTTTCGACATCACAACTTTCAAAAGTGCTCCGAACGTGGGATGTTTTTTGCTTTTTCACTTGCAAATGTGCTTCGCGCCACAACGGCGTGCACTTTTTCATCTCTCATCTGGCCAGATGGCTGCGCACCCGCTGCTTTAGCGAGCCTACTTTTCGACCCTCAGGAGCCACAAATCATTGGAAAAAAACACAGTGTTTCGCGACTTTCTTACCTTTTCGCGCACCTGCATCTTTTTTCTTCTGACTCTTTCTCTTCTCTGATCTTCCCTCTCCTGCTCTTCTCTCTTCTACTCTTCTTCTCTTCTCTCTGACTCTTTCCATCTCTGCTTTTCATTTGTCCATATTGTCGGAAGTTTGACTTCTAAACTTCCTTCGACAAATAGACTATTTTAAGTCTCTGTTCCCCCAAGGTCTCTACTTTTGACCCAACAAAAACCACCCAGAAGTCCACCATGTTGTCCGCCTCCAAGATCTTCTTCAGATATGCTGTGATGAAGGGTGAGCCGGGCTTCGACACTGAAATTATGGCCTTGACACCGGGGTAACGATGAAGATTCATGGGATTGAAACATGAAAACATGGGAAATGATCTTAAAAAAAAGATCGAATCCCAACTGTATTCCATAAATACATATCCATACATATCCCATTTGTGTATCATTCGAAACCATGGCATAAATATTGAAAATAGATATTGAAGTTATGGCTCGATGGTTCCTGTTGTTTGATAGTTCACTCCAATAGAGGCGGGATGTATAATTTAGGTAGTGGACATCAGCTGAGTGAAAATTATTCGACCTATCATTGGGAGGCTATAGTTCAAGTGGAGAACTGTTGAACGTTATTTATGGTGAGTTTGTTTGTGGCTAAAAATCATGAAAATCATAGGGCACGAGGTGGTGCTCCGCAGTTCTAAGTCGGCTTATCAAAACGAATATCATTAACATTCATTTACCATATTAGCTTTAGTTACAGTTGATATATATAATTATAATTATATAACTATAATATATATATATATATAACAGTGATATTAACATACATAATGAGACTACATAGACATTCGTCTAATTGTTAGATATAAACCAACTGCGCCATTTGGCCAATTTGGACCTGGCCACCCCAACATCCTGACTGGCGAGTTTCAGCAACTGTATCAACATATATCAAAACTGGTTGGTGGTTTTAACCGTCTTGAAAAATATGAAAGTCAATGGGAAGGATTATCCCATATATGAAATGGAAAATAAAACATGTTCTAAACCACCAACCAGAAAATCACGTGGGTGGTTTACCATTTGGATTTCTCTGAGAATAGGCTGCTCCAAGAAATGTTTTTTTTTTTGCAAATTTCTTCCTATTGTTCCATGGCATGGCTTATCCCAGTATCCCACATCTTTGGTGATGATGGAGCGAGGCCAGGATTCGCAATCCCATTGCGGCTTCAATCCCAAGTCAAAACCATCTCTGACTTTCGCAGTTTTGAAAAAGCCCAGGGTCGCCAAATTTCTGTCATTTTACTTTCATTCCATGAAACGAACATGAAAAATGAATAAAATGATGATCTCAAAGTCCAAGCACTTTGATCTAACATCATCTAACTCTGGCAAACCAACTTGATCAGGACTTTTACATCCTCAAGGTCAAAGAGATGTCCAGCTCATCTAGTTCCGCAGCTTCCAACATAATAGCTGGATGTGCGGTTACAGACACGTCTGCATCTATCAAATGCGATTCCGCATCCACCAATTTGGTTGCGAGAGGTCCCGTGTGTACTGTTTTGTCTACGACTTTCTCCAATTCATGATCACTCCAAATACTCCAAGTCCCCTCGGCCCACCTGGTTCACCCATTTCGCCTGTAGCAACGTGACCCAGTCCTAGGAAGGACCCGATCCATGGCCACTGTCTGAGAAGGTACTTACAGTAACCCTCCAAATGGTAAATTATACCTCAAACACTTCCAAATGATAGGTACTTGGACCAACTTGGATCCATATGGCTGATTACCCTCTGGTAAATTAACATAGACCCTGGCAGTCATCGGGGTTGGAAGACTAGTTTCCATTAAAAATTTGTGATAAAATCAGGGTCTATGTTTATTTACCAGAGGGTAAATAACCCACAGAAAATTCAAGGTCCTCCTCCAACAGCGGAGCTAAATCTCGGATCATTAGCACATCGCTGTCCATCCAGAGGCCACCGTAGTTGTACAACAGCACCGTTCCTTGGAGACAACTGCTGATTTTTGGATCAAAAAATCAAGGCTACTCAGCAAACACATCTCAAAACCAGCCGTAAATCTCGGATGAAAACCACCAAACTCAGGGTGTAGCCTGGCTAAAACAGCTGGCAACATGATTCACAGGTCGCTTTTTTAAAATCAACGTTTAGGCGCAGTTGTTGTTGTTCACAGCAACCTGCCGCTGAAACAAATCTGCCAAGGCTCGCATGATGTCCGACTTGGAGGTGATTTGAGATAGGGATTTGAAGATCTTCAACAGTCGAGCGGTCCTGGCAAACAGTACCACGAAGATCATGAGTGGTAGGTGTTTGATCTGTATCAATCGTGGTTAATCGTAGTTAAGTATAGTTTATCTTAGCAAAATTGGTGGAAGTATGGTATGGCCCCCATTTTTGAGAGACAGACGTGACCCCGGAGTCATAAAGTTCAACTGTAGAAAAAAACTCTCCACCAGGTCCGACAAGTATAACTATGTTCGCCAACAGAAACCTACCATATATCATATATCCAAGCTCACTCATCATTTTTGTTGGTGGTTAAAGGGCTTAAATCACGTTAAATCACAATTTCCAAGGGTTCAATCTAACTAATTTTTGGGCTCAGGGGCTTTGACAAAGTGTCTGATCAGCCAGATCCGTCCAAGACTCAATGTGACAGCCTCCCCCTTGGGAGCGAACTTCGCTGCTATTTTGGCCATCTCGCTGTTTGGATCGAATCTCCTCAGTTCGATGAAGTCGCCTTAGCCACGGGTAGTGCCCCCCAGAGGCCCCCGATGTGATTTTTGTTGGTTTACACAGCCCATTATAGTTATACTTTTTACCGTTATTATAGAAGATATTCAGGACATTCAGGAATGGATTTTTCTGCGCGTCCAAACCAGTTTCAAATAGAAGATCGGTTCTTCGATAATTCCCGAATATCTTCTATAACAACGGTAAAAAGAATATAAGATGTTGTAAGCATCAAAACCATTCAAAACTGTACTTATTGGAGTCACAAGCCAACTTTGCTATGTAATTAGTCCATATGAGTCCCAATTTTGTAGATGCCAGATGCCAGGGGTAGGGATTTACAGTAACCACGGAGATTCCAAGAAAAACGTGGTGATTTCATGGGAATGGGATAACCAATGGGTTTTTCCTATCCGGTGTCAAACATGGTTGGGAAATCCCATGAAATCCCCGAACTCAATGGGCATGGAGAGCAAAAAAAACATTAAGCATCGAAGTAAATGGTGGATGTTCCAGCCAGGTCATACCTGCATATTATACCATATTATGATATGATATGGGATAACCAATGCATAATCAATAATGGTATAGTTGGCAATGGTAGTACCCACTCGGTGCCGTATGGTTTGTGGATTGACCCAGCGGAAATCCAGGGTTTTGTATGGACACCAATGGCCATGACTCAGGAACCGACCTAACTGGAGGTACCTACCATATATATAAGGCCTATTTTTCAGGCCTATGTAAGGACATATCCCCACAAAATATGGCCTTGTATGGTACAGTACCTCCATTTTAGGATCCTGAAATTCCCATTGATATCTATGTTAGTTTACTGGAGCAAAAGTGTCATACTTCCCCTGATAGTGATGATACAATGAATATAATTCCCAACAGCGAATCTGTTGGGTTTCAATCTCTGGGGCCAGGGACTGGTGACACGAAAATGCACGCCCCGAAAAACCGGAACAGTCCTGGAACCTTGCTGGAACCTTTTCCTGTTGGGTTGCAAAGCTGGGCTCTGGGATGCTTATTATTGTCTTCACCCCGTTTAAATTGGAGGTACCTACCATACCTGGCTTAATTCTGTTATACATCACCAACCTGAAAGAAGGTCCTTGGGGTGATTGATTCCCTCACTATATAGCCACATATTAGTATACGGAAATGACGACTCAAGTCAAAGAGCTGGTCATTTCAGCACTAAACATTAATTTTGAAGAGGCATTGGAGCCAATGCCATGCACCTATCATGTGGGGACCTCAAGAAAAAGGTTTCTGTTGGTTTATAGCTATACCATGTGTAGGCCTAATGCAAACTGACAAAAATGGCCCTGGAATTACTGTTGACTGAATTTTCACCAGATCCAAAACTTATCTTGGGAAGTCAACTATCAACATTTTTGAAAGCTCCCACCAGATTGGACAGGGCAGGAACAAAGAAACGTTCCGGAAACCGCTGGATTTGTTGGGGGGAAATCTATATGGGAAATCTGTCGATCAACAATTGGTTCAGGAACTTCAGGGTGTTAAACCCGGCCTCAAAGAAAGGCCAACAGTTACAATTGGGGCCTTGGCAGTGACACGGGCAAATATTAGATACTGATTTTCCGTACACACCCCTAATATCAACCAGGAAAGCACAATCGTCAATCCAACTGGAAAAAAACACAGCAAACAAACATTTTTCAGGGGCCCACATTGGTTTTGAGCAGGGTCACCACCACTTAGTATAATACAAACATACTTGGTCGCACTCATAAATCCAATGGATTATCACAATTGCCCTCATAGAAAAGGCTATGATTTCTAGCCCATGTTCAGACACAATCCTATGAACAACAAAAATCCGTTGATGCGCAGCGCCTTGATCCCCAGCCCCGGCCAGGAAACTGTAATTTCTCAGCGGTGCGAAGATCTCTTGCAACGAAGGATGCGATGGATCTGCATTGGCCCAAAAAATCATCTTTGTATTCCTAGGATTGGCAAAAACACAACTTCTAGTGCTTGGGAGGGGTGAATGATCCAGAATAATAATCCCAGCTGCCAGCAACCCCATTCCCTACGTTTAGCACCAGCAGGATCCAGCAGGAACATGCAAGAATCATCAAACAACGGATGTTCCCCGGAAATCGACTTTGCGGAAAACATGTCAGGAAAGCCTGGAATTCAGAGGAAAAAAACATTAGTTCCTGTATGTGTTCACTTAAATCAATCTATCGAGTGTTGCAGCAAACTGAAACCTGAGACAATGAACTTGTTTGCGGGTCATGTCCAGCATGTTTGCCATGGGTTCTTGGTTACACGAATGAAGGAAAAATGGAACATACTTTTGTAGGCAGACTGTATGATTGTATGTATATTTCAATGTATATCCATATTTATATTTATATGCTTAAATTTGAATAGTTCAAAATATCTATATTTCTATGTATGTTGCCCTTCCCAATCGCACTAAGATGGCTGAAACAAAAGTCCTGATACTTGTTGAACACGTATTGATTGATTTAAGGTGACGGGGGATCTGCATGTTGGGAAACACTATGTAATTGCCAACTATATCCGTCTGCATCCAATGATGGAGATGAATAATCTACACATATATTATATGCATACCCCTCCCTGAGGAGGTATGAATCAATTAAACAATTAACAGAAGTCATGACAAATCATGATTGAGCCATCAGTCCTCTAGGTCATACTAAGTATATACAAATAACGTAGTATATATATATATACAAATTGTCCAGGGATTGCTTCATCCACCACCTCAGTCCCTTCAAGGGAAGTGATCGTCTCCTATTAATGACACTGATAAGTTTTCCCTCACCCTCTGGCAATCAAACGTGGCAATGGAAAATGCCCGAACTAAATAGAACTTAGTTGGGAAATTCATCCATGAATGCTGGATTTTCGATTGCCACGTTTGATTACCGGGGGGTAACTACAATCTATGGTGATTAACTTTTCCATCTGTTGGCGGGAAACCTATACAAAATGGGTTCAAAGAAGACCATAGAAGACCCAATTCCCAAGGATTGCCGCTATGTTTTTTCCACTTAAACAATTTTGGGGTAATCCTCACTTCTGGACAAACCCACATATCATATTTGTTGGCTTCATACACCCAGGATTTATATCTCGTGTTATCTATGTATGTATATCGCTATATATACATGTATGCCATTAATCATTAAAGCATTTATTGGGTTAATCTGAAAATTGGGCACCCCCCAATCCCTCTTCCTTATAAATAAATACAATTTTGGAGGTCTCCACCCCATTTTCAGACGGTGGATTCCAGCCCCAGCTGAAAGCTGCCAAGCGGCTTCAAGTTTTGTGTGGCCAAAAATGACAGCGGCAGCAGCCGCAATTTCCTGGCGTCTGAGCAGGTTCAGGGAACCAACAACAAAACGAGGAATCTGAGTGACATGGATGTGTTTGAAAACATATGGAGTATACTGTATACTGTACTAGTATACAATACAACCAGTTGAAGAGTATCAAAAGATGATGTGACCATATGTGACCAACAAAACATGGGATTAGCAGTTTAAGGCAACAACATTCAACCAACAACAACAGTCTTTAAACACAAATATGGATTGTCCATCAAACGATGGAGTCATAATACCAAGACATGGAGATGGAACGTGCAAGAAGGTACCAATACAATAGGTATTTGTTGGTTTATGACTGGTCCAACTGAGATTAGTGGTCGAACTCATATCTATAATCGATATTTACTTGGGGATGTACCCTCTGGTTATTTAACATAGCCATGGTATAGATAGAGCCCATAGAAATAGATGATTTTCCCAGCTATAAACCTCCACTTATAAGGATTTTCCATGGCTATGTTAGTCATAACCAGATGGTAGATCACTGATCACCAAACATCAATGGTCATTCCAGGATCCTAAATTGGAGGTACCTACCACATATAAGGCCTATTTTTCAGGCCTAAATTTCAGGGAATATCCCCAGCAAAATATGGCCTTAAAAAATATGGTACTAACGTACCTCCATCTGTTGGATCCTGAAATTCCCATTGATATCTATGTTTGTTTACTGGAGCAAAAGTGTCATACTTCCCCTGATAGTGATGATACAATGAATATCCTGGTTATATCCCAGTTATATATAATCCTAGGTATGTTCATATCTATATAATCTATACTTCCCCAAGGGGATGTAGATCACCAAACATCACAAAGGGAGGCCCAGAAAGAGTCTAAATCGCTGGACCGCAGATCTTTTACGGCTCCTTGATGTCTCCACCCAGTCATCAGGCAGTGCGAACCTTCCTGGCAGCCGCGCCGGGCCAGGCAGGTGCCACCTATGTGTAAACCATCGGCCAAAGTCGCCAGTTTGCCATGTGAACCACCTGGGTTTTTTTCCGTTGAACAGGTTGAACATGAACAAATGCAAGATCGTTTATTACAAAAAGAGGGCCCCCCGCGATAGCGTTCAGTTGCCTTATTTTTGTGGCTGAATTCTATAGTTTATGGTAGATATAATTGATATAACTATAATGGATTATAATGGGGGAAATAATTGTTTATAAATCAACGAAAAACTGGGGGCCTCATCCTGTATCCCTGCAAACATCAGCAAATTCCTGGGAAATTTGGATGCAAATCCTTCGCAAATTGTTTCAAAATTCAGAAGATCACAATAGGTTTATTCTTAAATAAGCAATCTGGTAAATTAACATAACTATGGGAAATCACTATTTTTCATGGGAAAATTCACTATAAATGGTGATTTTCCATAGGTATGTTAAATTACCAGAGGGTAGGCCATCTGGGATACACTTTAGACTCGACAAATTCAGGTGTTTGGGTTCCCCAAACCCCAAGTTCATAAATTACCAGCCCCGCCAACACATGTTGCGATTTGTGTAAGTACCCTTTACCTCTATTGGCTGCGGGGTTCCTTACATATTCAATTCTTGCTGGTGGGGAAACGTAAATCGCACTTTTTCTAGATAATTAAATTGGGTTTCATTTTGTCTGATGTTTTGGCTGTAAGAGTCTCCTTTGACACGGCAAAGCAATTTGACCCGTAGTTTGAATGCCCAATAAGTGTGTTGTGAAATCCCAGATGATGATTAGTTCAAAAATGTATTGGCACCTCATTCATCATGAAATTATGATCCAAAAAACGAAACAACACATATTCAAAAAAACAACGAGTCTATGATGAAACATTATACCGCACATATAAAAAAAAAATAGACCTCAAATCCAATTCAACACATGATTCAGGCGGCCCCGTTGTTATAATTTTTTGTAGTTTTTGGCCGCAAATCTCAGCTCTTTCCCTTCAAAAAAACTGGGCGCCTCCATAGCGCTCTTTCGACAGAAAGCCAGTGTGGATCAACGCCTTGCGCGTTATCGTCCCATGAGACTTCGACACGGCTGCCGCCATCCTGCCGTGATTTTTGGGTTTTTGGGTTTGGCACGGGGCGCTGGAACATATCTCCTGGAGAATCACGGAATTTCTTCGGGGTTATCTCATGAAAATCATGTGATTCTATGTGATATTTGAATATATTTGATTACATGCATTGATGGGTGCAGAGAAAGATATGGAGACTCCATTTACATAAATTGATCATTTCCCAGCGAAACAAACATGATTTTCATTGATTTTCCATATGACTTTGGTTGAACATAGAATTACTTCAAAAAATGATGCTGAATCATCATCTTCAAAGTTTTCTTGTTTCAACCCCAAGATATCCCAAGTACAACTAGATGACGGTTGGCCCGAGAGCGAAAAAAATGTTTTTCAAGCAGCTCTGAGGATGGTAGTCGTAAAAGATTAGTCGGTGAATAGTTGGTGAATTTTATATGAGCTATGGAAGGATATGGTGTGAAAAAGGTAAGATTGATCAAGAAAAGGATACATGTGACAACCCATGCACATGCACTGTGCTGCTTGGTAAACGGCATCGTATGACACGTGACGTGCAACCACAGAGAGACATAGAGAGAGAGAGAGAGTGGGGAGAGATAGAGAGAAAGAGAAAGAGAGACAGAGAGAGAGAGAGAGAGAAAGAGGGAGAGATGAGAGAGAGGGAGAGAGAGAGAGCAGAGTCTTCTGTTGTTAGTATTGAGACACTATATTACCAGACAAACATTAAAGATGATTATTTGCAATTATCTGTTACACACAGACGCATTTACACACAGACACTTTTACACGCAAACACTTTTACACACAGACGCTTTTACACACAGACGCTTTTACACACAGACGCTTTTACACGCAGATGCTTTTTACACACGCACACACGCTTTCACACACAAACGCTTTTACACACAGACGCTTTTGCACACAGAGGCTTTTCCACACAGAAGCTTTTACACACAGAAGCTTTTACACACAGAAGCTTTTACACACAGACGGATTTACACACAGACACTTTTACACACAAAAGCTTTTACACACAGACGGTTTTACACACAGACGCTTTTACACACAGACGCTTTTACACGCAGATGCTTTTTACACGCACACACGCTTTCACACACAAACGCTTTTACACAGACGCTTTTACACACAGACGCTTTTACACACAGACGCTTTTACACGCAGATGCTTTTTACACACGCACACACGCTTTCACACACAAACGCTTTTACACACAGACGCTTTTACACACAAACACTTCAAGACAAAGACGCTTTTACACACAGACACTTTTACACACAGACGCTTGTACACATAGAGGCACAGACACTTTTACACAAACGAAAGCGTCCATCGCAATTTTTCCTCAGTTTTTGACGTCCAACGTCCATTTCGTGCGAAAGGGTTGCGATTGACCAAGTAAAATCGCAATTTTTCCTCAGTTTTTGACGTCCAACGTCCATTTCGTGCGAAAGGGGTGCGCGCGACACCTCAAAGTCGCAATTTTTCCTCAGTTTTTGACGTCCAACGTCCATTTCGTGGGAAAAGGTTGCGATGGACACTTCAAAATCGCAATTTTACCTAGGTTTTTGACGTCCAACGTCCATTTCGTGCGTAAGGGTTGCGATTGACCAAGTAAAATCGCAATTTTTCCTCAGTTTTTGACGTCCAACGTCCATTTCGTGCGAAAGGGTTGCGCGCGACACCTCAAAGTCGCAATTTTTCCTCAGTTTTTGACGTCCAACGTCCATTTCGTGCGAAACGGTTGCGCGCGACACCTCAAAGTCGCAATTTTACCTCAGTTTTGGACGTCCAACGTCCATTTCGTGGGAAAAGGTTGCGATGGACACTTCAAAATCGCAATTTTACCTAGGTTTTGGACGTCCAACGTCCATTTCGTGCGAAAGGGTTGCGTTTCGTGGCGCTCCGGCGGCACCGCCCCTGGCCTTAAGAGAGAGATAGAAAGAAGAGCGAGAGAAGATCCGCAGATTTGAGGGTGTGAAGACTTGCCCTTGCTTAGAGGAATTTTGTAATTTTTTTCCGGCCATTTTTTGGATTTATTGTCAAGAACATAAAAAACACTCGTTTTGCCATGAGGGGAGATATTTGTTTTTCTCGTTTTTCTGCTCCCGCATATCTTTGGCTTCAGTTTGCTGCTGCAGAGTTACTGATACTGGCTGCTTCGGGCAGAGAAAAGGCTGCTTCGGCCTTTTTTACGAGTTATGTTGCTGAAATCGGCAACTGCTAAATGGGAGCAGCTGCGAGAACAGTGGCAAAGCCGTTTCCCATTGAACCCAGAGGATCCTTCTGCAGGTTCGTGGCTGCAAGCTCGCAACTCTCAACTTACTTAATAGGTTTCAACTTAACTGCTCTGAGTCGTCCTGGCCTGACCCTGTTAAGCATTCTGCATGTCACTTACCAGATAATACGCAGTCCCTGTTTCCTTCTAATACATTCGATTCTGTTTGTGTCTTTGGGCACAAGAAGTAAACAGAATGGCGGCCACAACGCCAAATGATGCTGCTTTTTGTGGATTACGCGCGCAAGACGCGCTCCTTTTTGAAAGAGCAGCCGGCCCGAGTGTTTGGAGTTCAGGATCTGGACAGTGCTATCGAGTGCACCAGAAATGCATTGTTTTGGTGCTTTTCTCATTTAACTGATGAGAAGGAGATGAACGACGACGAATGGGCAGGGCAGATCATGATAGATTTGGACATCCTGATCCTGACTACCATTCGTTTACTTCCCATGGACAAGTACCCAGGCAGCCACCTCATGACCACAATGCCACAGATGTCACCGGGGCAACGATGCGTTCCTTTGACTGACTTCACCAAAAAGGAGTTTCACGTGGCGATCCGGCTCATCAGCGTTTTGGAACATGTACCAGATGAGTTTAGCAATTTCACTTGGTCCAAAATGCGGGAGGAATGGTTTGAAGACATGTTTCAAAAGGTTCAAGCTTCTATGCACTGAGTGCTGGTGGTCTTCAGAGGCTGTTTCGGCTTCAGGGGCTGTTTCGACTTGAGCGGCTGTCGACGGTCGAGGCTGTTTCGGCTTCAGAGGCTGTTTCGGCTTCAATCTAACTAGGATTTTCGCCCGCTGCTTCGGCTTGGCACTAAGATGACGCGCGGCTCTGTTAATTTATTTTTTCCCCTACAGGGCTGCTTCAGCCGGAGCAACGACCAGTATAACCGGAAGAAAAGGAAGGGTGTGCTGGGGATGTCCCCAAACGGGTGTAAAAATTGTCACCACAATGGGTATACCGTAACTCTGCATAGTAAATTGACTTTACAAGTTTTTGATATATTTAACGCATGGATGAAATTGGAAAATGTTTCTGTATGTTTTTTTGAATAAAATGAAGCTTGCAAAGGGCACATCGAAGTGTATCATATATCGAGTGCATCCAAAGTGCATCAAAATCATAATCGCATGGACCAACGTTAGGTTAACTAACTTCCTAATGTCCTAATGAAATTCAAACATCATAAATAGAGTGCGTTCACTTATGCAAAAAATCGGCGACAGCATTTGCCAACTTAACTTGGGAGGGTGGTCGGTACACTTTGGGTCACGGGTAGTGTGTAAGAAGAGGGCGGCCTGACCTCTCCTTACGCAACTTGGGCGCGTCCCCGAACTGTGTAAGGAGCTGTCAAAGAGAGGGCGAAACAAAAATTCCGCTACGCGGGTTGGTTTTTTGACCATATGCCCTCTTTTTGCCGCTCCTTAGGCAGGTTGGGCGCGTCCCCGAACTGTGTAAGGAGAGGGCGAACTGACCTCTCCTTACACAGGGTCCCGGACACTTAGTGGTTTGCAGCGGTACTGCCCGCCTGAGCCCGCGAGATTCATACATTTATTATTTTCCCACCACCCAAAAAAAAAAAACAATTTTCGGATCCACTACCCGTGAACTTACGTAGTTTAATCTTGATCAAATTTTAAATTTACGTAGTTTTTCTAATCTTGATCAAAGTCACTGAATTTGAGACATGCAGTTGTTATGTCTGGATGAACTAGACTGCACTCTTGATGCTCTTCTGCTATTATCAATTTTCTCAAAATGAATGATTATCCCCCGAAGAAAGCACAAACTGTCGTAAAGCCATCCCGATTAATTAGTATCAATATAGCTCAGTGCGTTGATTGTCCGAAACCATTTCCAGTTCAAACATCGCGTCTGACTCCCGGCTGTTTCGGCCGGTGTGTCCAGCTGTTTCGACTGGGAAGCTGCTGGCTGTTTCGGCCAAGTATGGTACTGGTTCTGGATTGTGATGGCGTCCTGTCAGACAGACAGACAAAACATCCACCCAACTTCAATCTCCACCAAACCGCTGTGGATGGAGTTTACCCTTTCGTTCATTGCTTCATACACAAATATGGCGAAAAGGAGCTGGTGATACTGAGCCGGGTAAACAACTGAGGCGATGAAGGAAAACAGGGGAACCGCGGAAACAATGAAGCAGAGCCATTTTGTTACCACAGCGCACCAGAAGTTTTTTTGGAAGAGATTCCCCATGGATACTACGTGAAGAGCGTCGTGGACATGACGCCCGCCGATGGGAAGCTGGCGTTCGTGTGCTTGAGACAACGACTTGGCTATTGCGGAATTTGCTACAACGACACCCACGCAAAAACCCTTGAAAAAAGGATGCTGCAGGGACTTCAGAAAGAGATGGTGGACCCCAGCAGCCCACTCTTTTCTTCTGCCTACTCCACCGCCCTTGGAAATGGCACGGCCGAGACTGTCACAGTGCCTAACCCAAAACCAAGTCCAAAGCCCAGGCGCTGCCAGTAAGCCCAAGTCCAAGCCAAAGGCAAAACAGAAATCCAAGGCCAAAGCAAAGAGCGGAAACAAGCGGCCTCGCGAAGACAACGGTGCAGAGGACCAGGATCAAGAAGAAGGTGTCGGAGCAAGGGGAAGAAAACGAAGAAGAAAATGTTTGGGACGTGTTGGAGGACTGAGTCAGCCGTATTTTGGCTGCAAAGCATCTGTTTCGGCTGTAAAGCAGCTGTTTCGGCTGTGTAGTATTATAGGTTGCGTCTTAGTCTTTAGGAAGATGTCGGCCTTGGCTGCTTCGGCCAAGTTTTGTTGAGTACATCTTGACGCGCGGCAGGGGAAAATAAGAATGGGTGGGATGGGGGTCTGACCGGCAAGTTCAGCTTAGTTTTCAAAGAACTGTTTTTCCAATGTCATCGAACTTGATCAGGTGGAATCTTGGCCGTCATCTGCAGATCGCATGGGTTGCACGGTCAGCACACTAGCAATTTAGGATCCAGGTTTCAAAAGAGAAACATGCATGGATATTTTAATTCCTCGTTTATCATGGCATGAAGATATTTTTTCTAAGACCCGTAGAAAAGCCATGTGCACCACCAAAAAAAAATCCAAAATTCCTCTAAGCGAGGCTAAGAAGATGTAGATCTGCAGATGTGAGGATGTGAAGATGTAGATCAGCAGATGTGAGGATGTGAAGATGTAGATCTGCAGGTGTAAAGGTGTGAAGATGTAGATCAGCAGATGTGAGGATGTGAAGATGTAGACAAGCAGGTGTGAGGATGTGAAGATGTAGATCAGCAGGTGTGAGGATGTGAAGATGTAGATCTGCAGATGTGAGGATGTGAAGATGTAGATCAGCAGGTGTGAGGATGTGAAGATGTAGATCAGCAGGTGTGAGGATGTGAAGATGTAGATCGGCAGGTGTGAGGATGTGAAGATGTAGATCAGCAGATGTGAGGATGTGAAGATGTAGATCAGCAGGTGTGAGGATGTGAAGATGTAGATCAGCAGGTGTGACGTGTGAAGATGTATTATAACGGCTGCTTTTTTACGAAGAACCCTTCGCAGGCGCTCTCGGGAAAAAGGGGAACCTAACCGCTAAAAACAAAATACGAACCCAGTAAGTTTTTGTTGATCTCACTTCACCATTCCATGGATTTGTTTGAGGAAAATCACACGAGACGATGGAAAATCCACCAATTTATAGAGGATTTTCTTATGAAAACCTACATGTTTCGGATTTTCCAGCCATGCATGATCACCGGACTCACCGGAGGGTATAGGTTCTCCGTTTCAAATGGATTTCGGACAAAACATGATGGAACATGTTCTGGAACCATTTTCTGGAACCATTTTCTGGAACATGCCGGCCTTTTGCACATCTCCAGCGGCATCCCGGCTTCCTCAATGGGCTTCAAGGTGGCATCCATCACCTCATCCATCACCCATGTATGGTACCCTCTGGTTATGACTAACATTGCCATGGGAAATGGCACATTTATAGAGATTTACCTATTAAAAATGGTGATTTTCCATGGCTTTGTTAAATAACCAGATGGTATATTTACCTACACAACTGGGTGATGTTGGTAAATGTTGGTGTGCATATTCCAGCACCATTGGGACCATGGAGCATATATGGGACGGGAAAAACATCGGACATCATGTTTTTTCTCAAATCGAAATAAGGTATCAATCCTCCAAGTGTCGAAATCGATACTTGCGTCTGGGGTTTCATATGACTTCATGATGATCTGATTTGGAATGTTCAGAAAAACAGGGTTACCAAATTACCAAATATACCTTATGACTAACATAGCGAACTGGTATAGATGGCCCATAGAAATAGATGATTTTTTCCGGCTATAAACCTCCATTTATGGTTGGGATTTTCCATGGCTATGTTAGTCATAACCAGATGGCAATGCAAATTTCATTGACAGGCAGCCATATCAGCCAATTTCAAATTTCGTGTGTCATGGAGGTCAACTACCATGGGAGTACCCCCAAATCGTCCAAATTATGAATGACCATGACCTAGTATTGAAACCTATGGTGACGACTGGGGATCCACCAAGCCATAAGAACCCCCATTTGAGCAACAATGATGGGTGGTTGTACAGTAATCATATTCTGATCTAAGTGACATATGGAAGGTGACATGTCGCGCAACTGACCAGCTGAAAGTCATTGGGACATGGCGCAAGTCCAAGGAATGAAGTTAATTTATTGGAGAGGGGCGCAATCAATGGTCAACAGAAAAAACATGTGGCTATTTTAACGGGGATAATGATGAGTAACCAATGGATAGAATGGGGTACTCTATCTTCAAACAAGCCATATTCTGGATTCTGTGCAAACAATTTGACAAGCCTGTCAGCATGACGAATAGAAGTCACGTTGAAATTGAAACTTGATTTTCCGCTGTCACGTCAGATTACTTAAATTTATTTTGTACACCATTTTTCCATCCAAAAATCCAAAAATCGTTCATCTTTTTTCCTGTCCTACCATTTATAGATGTTCTGAACCGAGTCTCTGGGAGAAGTGCTTGGAACTGCGGTGAGCTGAATGTTGCAGACTGACCTCGAGTCTTTTTGTCATCGGTTTCTTCTTCACATTTGAAAAATCCGGATGTGGAAAATCATGCAGTTATGGCCATTCATCAGTTATAAGTACTTATAACCCCATTTACAGAATGTATAATCCCATTTATAACCAGTTATAACTGGTAGCCATGGCCAAAACTGTGGGGATTGATGGAATCCATGCGGAATGCTATGCCAAATCCATGGCTTGATCCATGGAATCTATGGTGGATTTTCGAGCGCGTTCATACGCCGTATGAACATGTGGGATTCCTGGAGGGGTATATATGAAACCATATGTTTTCATGATGAGATGACCATCATGACAGGAACAATAGGAACAAACCTAACTTCACCATGGCGCATATATAAAATTAATTACTATAAATATATTAAATATGTATGTATATATATATATATGTATACTATATATATATCTATCATATATATTAAATTATATGTTATGTATACACAAGGTAATATATATATATACATAATGACCTTTTATCCCCACTATTGTTGGCTACACCGACACTCTGCAAGGTGATATAAAACCTGTAAAACCATGACAATTGAAACCCTTTTGATTGTTAGCAATTTCCCTGCGGACAGAGATTAAAGATTCCAACCCGTAAAATTTGCTCAAGAACAACTCAGCAAACTACCTCTAAACATTGGTTTACGAGGTAAAGCATGATAAACACATGGCTAAAGTTGAGTAAACTTCACCTTAAGTCAACTTACCAATTTGACTTATGTCAACTTGACTCAAGTAAACCTCCATAGATTTTTGCTTTCCCGTAGTTCTTGCCGAGCACTTCCCCCTTTTGGCCCATGCTTAAGCTCCACCGAGTGGCTGAGAAGCTCGACGCGCTGCAGCAAGCTGCTGCCGTCGCGCTCGGCAAGCGCCAGCGCCAGCAAGGGAAAGATCCACATGGGAACACGGAAGGTTTGACAAATGTCAAACATAGAGACCAAAGACGAATCTGTATATGGTTTAAACTATGCATGGTTTCAAAATCTTTGGTTATATATATATACATACCGGATATCCATGGATATCCCAATATATGGTTTAAACCATGGTTTCATGATCTATTTGTCTTTTGTCTTTTGATCTGCAAAGCGACCTCAGTCGCCGCCCGGGGACCGGTTCGGTACGTTCGCTGAACGGCTATGGTGGGCCTCAGAGAATCTATCACGTATTGAAAAAAACGTGAGCCGTGAAGGATTTAGCCATTAAAATAGTAGTTACCCAATATGGTGGATGAAAACAAATATATCCATCAAATTAATAGCCATGAAATTAATAGCCATCAAATTTATCCATTGATGATGGATGGCCAATGTTTTGAAACGATTTACCCATGAAGTTGGTTCGCGATTGAAAAGAGTAAGCCTTTGTGTGAAATGGCGGGTGTCCAACGTATTGCATAGCGAACTGTTGGACATGAAGTTGGACTACCAGAGGGTACTCTCCAATCGTAAAGCTCAAAATAATCATTCAAGCAGCGAGGAGAGGTTGAATGTAAAGATCACCCTGATCACATAGTGTTGAGATATGAGATCATACTTATATTATGTACATTCCATGAAAAACTTGACAGCATAATTCATCCAAAACCACACTGATAACGGTTTTCTTTCAGCAACCTCTATGACTTTGAAGGGGATTGAGTATCCTACAGCAAACAGCAATGAATTCATCAAAGGACAGCAGACTCCCACACAAATGTCGTCTGTATGTCAGCCTTGAAGTGCAGCCTCACCGGAGTTGTTCCGCCAGATTTTTCCAAAGTTAAAAGACAGAAAGTATCTTATGCTTCCCAAAGTAACAAATGTTGGCTCAAAGACTCAAATTTGGATCCAATTTCTCTGGTTGGTGGTTTCAACCCATCCCAAACAAATTGTATGATCCCAAATAATCATGGATGAACATATATGAGCATAATATAACATAATATAATATAATAAAATATGTACTAATATATATATATAGAGAGAGAGATAGTATATATATATATATGTATATATATAATGTCAACCACGGATTAATAAACCATGATTTATTAATTAGGGTGGTATGCCCCCAATAGCCATGATTTGATACTTTTTTATGGTACCTTCCCAATTAAACAGCTGTTTGGGGTTGATTAATCCAGGGTTGACATTATATGTGAAACTACCAACCAGATCAACCAGATTTTTTCGTAGCCCAAATGCCCCATGTATGGAATATTTACCAACATTTACCCTAAAAATAATCCAGATTTGTAGGTAAATATACCATCTGGTTATTTAACATAGCCATGGAACATCCTATTTCTATGGGCCGTGTCCATCCATTGCCCATGGCTATGTTAGTCATAACCAGAGGGTACCATACATCTGGGCAAATTAAAATATTTCACTAACCTGAATAGTTCGGCCATTTTTATGGGGACGCTTCCCCTCAAATAAACCATGATTCCAGGCTTCGGGAGAACAGGCTTCGGTCGTGATGAAATTTACCCAGATCGATCATCAGATCACCAGAATATTCCCATTGTTGTTGTTGGTTTATAGCCTATTAACCACTATTAACCACCACTATTAACCACTATTAACCATCACTATGGGTAGATGCGTGTCATGTAAAACGCATCCCCGAAGGAACAGACCGACCGTTGAAGTCCACGGCACGGGCGTTCTCAGAGGTCAACGGCGCAGCGTTGATCAAGGAGAGACCTGGACCGTTGAAAGCCAGAAATCATGGGTTTATTTCTTGGAACATCACCAATATGATGCCAATATGATCTGAATTTGATGGTTTGTTTTTCCGAAATGTATCGAAATGTCATGAAATACTTGTTGGTTAAGGAGGGGATATTACATATTATGTCCAGCTCATGCATTGATAATAATGCACAATATATTGGCTCATTTAGACTAAAACCAACACAAAAACAGGTTTGTAGTGGAAATACATGTTCTGTTGAAAAAATGAATGATGATCAATGTGTTTTTCCAATGGGCAAAGATTGAGGGTCTATCAAGACCATCCAGAAAATGGTGGGCAAAGATGATGGGGGGAAAGCTGATACTCAACAAACATGGCGCAAATGGACCTATATTATGCACAAAGGAGCACCTAGAAGCTTATCAACCAAATCTGAACCAAATACATGTATTTATATGATATATCATACATCCAAATATCCATATGCATATATATATATATATGACACATTCATTTATCTACGATTCTGATATGATACACCCTATATATATATTATATATATATATTATACACACAATTATGTACTATAGATTAGGGAGAACATCTTTGGAGAAACAATTACCATCAAATTGTATATAGAATTGGTGGTTCATACCGCATCCCGCCATGGAAACTACGTCCTCCCTGAGGATCTGGGAAGCCCGTACCGACAGCGATCCACTTGTACCTGGGTGGTCCGATATTTCTTTCTTGGGTTATCTAGGCCGAGGCTAACTGGGATTCATGATGGATATGTCTATAAAACATCTACAAGCAACTTCTAACTGTGCGAACCCTTCATGTACCAACACTGGTCATCATTCAAGCAGCAAACGTTCAATACCACCGGATAGGATCGAACCTAACCAACCAAATGAAGGATACAAGAGAGAGAGAGAGAGAGATATATATATATAATATGATATAAGCCACAAGAATGGAACAATGACGCCAAGGGGCATGTAAGGTACGAAGTGGGGACAACCAGGCCATAAAATCTGATCATTACCATCGCTGCATTCCATACGCTTTCCAACCTCTTGGAGCAGGCAAATGCCAATGTCATCATCGATGTAACGAAACTCCTTTCATGGCTGGGAGTTAAAAAAAACACCAAAAAACATGTTAAAGTTACCCAAGAGTCCGGTCAGATCCAGTTTTTGACTCTGAATAGAGGTGCGAACATCCCGATCATCGAAAACGTCTGGGCCATGACCATACGTTGGTGCCAAAGCCAGGATTCAGCCAGCGATCTGCTTAGATTTCTTGACTGCACTATAGATGTACTATGAAAAAGTCACGTTTTATAGATGCAGTATTTACATCTAGATATCTACATATATATATATGGTATAATAATCATATACATTTATACAATTTATATACATCATGTAAATCTAATCCACTCCCGCGTTGCCCGCCTCAAGGCGGCCAAGGCACATCAAGGGAGGCTGTCCGCTTTGAAGAAACATCCCCAGCAGCCAGTTCTCTCCGAAACAAACACCATGTTTTTAGATGTTTTAGTTCACTGATGTGATTCACCAAAAATCAGTGATTATATGATTTAAAGCGAATAATTCACTGATTATAGTGATTCACCGGATAGTGATTCATGCACTGACCTGAAATAAGGCTTCTTCTTCCTCGTTTCCAAATGGAAAGAATGTTCGGATAATTCGCCTTACTAAGCATTATTGCAGTGAGGTCGCAGTGAGGTTGTTGATTTACCCTCTGGTTATTTAACATAGCCATGGAAAATGGCCCATTTATAGATAATCTTCCCATTAAAAATTGTTATTTTCCATGGCTATGTTAAATAACCAGATGGTACCCAGAACAATGTGGTGCTGAAAATCGCGTGCTGTTGTCTTCACCGAAAGTGTTTCACTTTTTGACTTTCGTGATACATAGGGGTTTCCATAAATGGCGGTACCCCTCAATGTATGGTTTATAAGGGAACATCCTATTAACATTTATGATTTAGGGGTACCCACATTTATGGAAACCCCCACGTGTCATGGTAAGCGTTGATGGAGTCCTGCAGTGGTTGATTCGACAGCTGGGCAAGTTTGCTATAGATGGGCACTGCCCAATTCCAACCCATAAAATTGTACCATAGTTCAGTGATGATCGGGAAACAAATGGACTATTGCTTGTTTTCTTCAAACATATGCTTTATTTACCAGAAGATCATGCCAAGCAACAATTGCGAGCTCGAGCAAAGGATTTAGCATTAAACCATATTAAACCTTCAATGGTTTTGAACAGAACATCGAAAGTTTAATATTGTTAAACATATATGGTTACATTTTAATGCTGACTGATCTCATCATGATAAGTTGGGTGCCTCTACAATCCTTCTTGGATTCTTGCGCGGCTACCAGGCCGCTCACATTGTAGGCACCGGTTGGAAATTTGAGAAACTGCATCAATAGGTTGCTGCAAACAACCCTTTCAGCGATCGTTCAACGGATTTATCATGGTTGATGAGCCATAAATCCACTCGTTGTATCTATGTCATCAGTCACACTAAACTGGCTGCTGTCAAGCCATGCAAGCCATGCAAGCACGACCGAGTGCAGTAGAAATGCATATTTCGTGGCTCAGCATAGTATGTAGCATGATCAAAGCACTGAACATAAAGGCACACAACCACTAGTCATTGCAAAGCTTAGATGCCCTGCATGAAATAATTTTAGCTCGTTAGGTCAATCCCCATTGCACAACATGTCCCAGGACAAGACTATCCATCCAGTTGGTGTCCCAAGGCCATTGGGCATTCGGCGCACCGGAGGTCTATCCCCTGCCGTTATCCTTGTCACTTGTCATGGTGTCATGATGTCATGATCCCAAATCCTATGACTCAGAGTACCGTCATTTCTACAAGTCCATATGATCCAATTCCCGCAGTTACCAGTCCTACGTGTGTTGCAATTTGGGGACAGAACAATTGTGTCTACGAGTCTACGAACATGAAACCCGTGGTTTTCACTGGGGTTTCCACTGCAAGATCATGGGAGTTGGGAAGGAAACAGACCAGAAATCTGATGGAATCTCTGGAATTCGTCATACCTGAAACCGTTCTGGCATGATGGGAACCTTTAGATCACCATAACATGGTGGAAGGCACCCGGTCGTGTACTGAATTGACCTACTGGACAAGGCGCAGGCAAGTTGATCAATTTGACAAATCATCCCA